GTTTTGAATTTCAAACCTTTCACAAACTTTGGCTTCACCTGTAAATATGGAGAATAAACTCCCATCATTCAACAAAGCCAGAGCTTATATGGTATATTGTTTAGCTCGAACAGTACCCTTTGGAAATAACTTTTGAATACATTGTTCAGTTTCAGCTGAATGCTGCCACATAGCCTTAAGCACATCTGAGGACTTGATCAAATGAGTCTTATAATGAGTTGACTTCTTTTTTTTTTTTAATTGCGATCTGATTGTGCATTCAATTTGATTCAGTTGCCTTTTTTAATTAAAACTGTGGTTCTGCTTGAGCACTTGAGAAGACTGAGTGAGCACTGGAAAATGCAAGTTCCTATTAACAAAAAAAAAAGTTTCATATTCATCCTGCACAATCATTGTTTGGGTGCGCCTGGGGATTATTTCCAAAAGGTACAGCACCTTGAGCGGACTCATTTCAATCAGACCTCCTTTGAGCACCGAAGGGGAATTAGTCTAAATGCTGGGGCTGCCTTCAAATCTATACAGTGTCTACATTGTGTGGGCTCTGAGCCAAGGATTTCAAGAAGGCACCATTCAGAGCAGACTTGGTACACCAGCAATAACAACTGATTCCATATTATTTTGGAGACTAATTTGCAGTAGGTTTTATAAAAAAAACTGATTAAAATACCAGCTGTATTTGGGTTTTTATTTCACTAATTTAAGTGGAGAAGAAAAGATTTTACAGCCGACAGAGAACAAATTGAGGTTTTGCCTAGTGCGGTTTACTTTTAGCTTCTGGATTGCAGACACTCCCTGAAAAACAAGATTACAGTTATTAGTCTTTGAATGTGAAGTTAGTATTTCTTCATCAGCCACCTACCTTCCTTTCCCTTACCCACGAAGTGCTATTTGTTAAAGGGGTAAAAATGTTCAAATTCATGAATTCAACATGGGCAATACAATAGCTGCTCATGATGTAGACATTTACTTAGATTAGGGTTTTACAAGTAAACAGGGATTTTACGAAGTGCAAAATTGTTCTAGTCCTTTTTCTTGCAAATGAAATACCAAGGAGAAGAAAACACACATTTAGTTTCCAGTGTTGTAAATGGGGTTTTTATTTGCCATTAACTTGACTCACCTTAGTCACTCATACAGCAATTGTGATTTTTCTCTGCTAGGCTATGTGAGACTTAGATCCCTGAAAGAGATGCGTCTGTGTAGCTCAGGGCTTGCTTGACTTTTCTCAGCCGAGACACAAATGAGGCTGTCCTGAAACTGTCCCAGTGTTTTTCGGTCTGCCGTTATTTTAATAAGAAGTCTAGAACGGAAGTTAAAGCCACAACTGTTGTGTATCACTTGGTAAAAAAGGGATCTCTGTCACTTTCAGGTGGTCGCGTGACGCTTTTATGAAAAACCCCTCCTAAAGTTTGGTTTATCTCCCTGTCACAGCGAGGCAGCTGGAAGAAAAACTCAAAGACCCTGTTCTTTCATCCGTTACCAAAAAAACACTTATTTGCTGCCTACCCTGGAAGCAGAGGGAGTTAGATGGAATGATGTGCTAATCAGGATGGACACTGCAGGCCATGTGCACTTTGCATGGTGTGGAGCAGGGGGGGACCTGGAGGGTCAGTGTGTCAGGTATCCAAGGGCTCTGGGAGAACCCGTTCGGTTGGTCCAGCGGAGCCAGTAACCAGCTGGTTTGGCGAATAAAGAGCCGCGTTGGAATGGGAATCTGTAAGCACACTGGCGCTCCAGGACCGGGACTGCCCATCTGTGATTTAGAGGTACCACTTCACCTGTAAGCATCTAGGAGGCACACCCTGAGGAAACTCACACATTGCAGGGAGACGGCAGTATCGACTGCCAAAACACTGTGCCACGCGTGCGCCGTTCATTCGTGTCCCGGTGAACACGGCGCAGGAGCTCTGGGACTCTGATGATTAACAGTCTCCAGGCTTCAGAGACTGGAGAGGGGAGAGAAAACCCACTGGCCTCTCCAGGGGTCTGTTCCATTGCCACCCAGCACTTGGAAACAGGCAATAGAGACAGTCAGTTGTTTTTTTCTCCTGCCAATGCTTAACAGGGAGTGGTGAATTCCTTTCTGCAACTGGCAAGTAATACAATCAACATGAAATTCTTGTGCAGTTTTTTTAGCATCACAATCAGTAACATCCTCGGCATGTATTTATCTCATGTATTAATAATTTTATATCATGGGAATATTCATCTTAATTATGGCTGTCCATTTCCGACAGCATCTTCCAACTATGACCACACATACAGTACGTAAAGCAGGATTATAAATCGTTTTGATGCTTCTACTCTCCAGTGTTGTGCAACGGATATGTGTGTTCCCATAATTCACAACTCTTAAACAGTATATAATGCTGGAAGATATTCTTTTTATACTCGGGCTTAGTAATGTGTTTAAAAAGTTAATTTAACAGTTCTAAAAGCTTAACAGTTTATATAGAAAAACATGAGAAACAGGAAACACAAAATACTTTTTTAGGTGTTCACATCATCCGTCGAACATTACCTGTTTTAATGACGGTGTTTACTAATCATTTGCAATAGTGCACAACTTTTTTTTTTAATGAATTTACATGTCACAAGAGGCTATTCTCTTTCAGGGTGATATAGCGGTCTTCCGATTGAATAAACGCACTATTCGTAATGCACTCTTGCGCGTGAAAAAATAGCACTGTAAAGACAAACTGAAGATTAAAGTCTAACGTATCAATATGCTCGACACGATCTATCAAAATAGAAAGCGTTCTGAGGCCAAACTTAGTACTCTGCTGCCATCCAGTGGCGGGCAGCTGTAGTACATCATCGGGAACTCGACACTAGAACAACAGATGAGCCTTGACAGCGGAGACGTTTGTAGCACACAGGGCTCGATTTCACCAGTCCTGGCTTGACTTCTGCTTGATGAACCTCAATGACAGGTAGTAGAAAACCATGAAGGCCACGCAGATAGCAAGGAGGACAAGGTAGCAGGAGTACAGCGGGTTCGAGCTCATGCTCATGGCTTTCACCACCTGTGCAAACACACAGTCAGTGTTTAGGATTGTGTTATTTTTTTGAATATCTATTTAATAAATGCACCTCAAAAAGTACGATGGAAATCTTACTTCACATTTAATCATGGTTAACATACAGCTCCTAAAAAGTCCTTGAAACATCCTCTGATTCACATAGAAATATCACTGGCGTGACAGGCTCTTATTGGCCACAGTGTGTAGCTGCAAGTAGGTAGTTAACTCACTTCAAGCCCGTCAATGTTGAGAGAGAAGTTTCCTATGGCCACTTGATACTGCTGCCCAGTGAACTGGACCTGTAGCATCCCCTCGAAACCCCAACGCATGAAGGAGATGTAGGAGAACCAGGATGCCACTGTGGGAGAGAATGAGAACGTGATTGAATATTCAGGACATTCACATCCTGTCCATATCCACTATAATATAGCACCCAGCAAGGAGCAGCTGGGTGAGCTCCTGGGATCAATAAGATACCAACTACCAAATGAGCCAGAATGTCCTTCTCTCATTTTAAAGTGCGTTTTATGTTTTATTAGTAAAGTACTCTCATTAATTATAAAAATATACATATATATAAAATTGGTTTTTATAGAAATATTAATTATATATAAAAATGATTTTAAAAAAATACCCCCCCCCCAGCATCAGGCACATCTTAAGTAGGAGGAATTACATACTCCACAAGATATATTCAATCCTGTCCCATCCCATTAATCCAGCAGAGATTCAGTCCAGGGAATTCATTCCTCTTCTTTACTCCGAGCCATTAAAAACTCAGAGAATGAATATTGGACCCAAGAACACTGGTTGTGTTTTTAAGGCCTCTGTGTGAATGGCTGAGATCTGGGGGTTGCTCAAACCACAGAAGGGGAGAATGTCTGGCCCCTGCTCCTCACGCCCACCCCCACGTTGCCTGAAGCCAGTCTGTGAGACTGCAGGCTCTCTTTGGCAAGCCAGCCTATTCTAAAACAGCGCTTGAGACAAGACGTTGTCAGCGTTTCAGTGAAAGGCCCTGTCAGGGTGGCGTGGTTTGCCGAGAGACACGGGGACTGTAAGGAGCCTCTGACCTGCCCACATGTTCTCCAGGCTGATGACAAATCCACCGGTGAGGTAGAAGACAGTGAAGAAGGCATTGCCCATGAAGGAGGAGGTCTGAAGAGTAGGTAGGAGTGCGGCCACCCACAGGGCCATGGCCCGGCTGCAGTACACCACCAGCCACACCAGCATGAAGTTCATCAGGAAGGGCCCTGGCTGGGGGTTCAGGCCAGCTAGCCAGTAGATAGGCACGGCGTACACCACAGTGAAGGCACAGTGCTCAGGCAGCTCCCCTATTACCTGCGCACAGTGGAAACAGAACTGCGTTCTTGAAACATTCTTCACCACACTGTGTTATCTGCTTCTCAAGCAGCATCTCAGACTGCTTCCTGAGTTATAAAAAAATGGCCAATGACACATGGATCTCTGCTCTTTGGAAAGTTTCTGCCTGCTGTCACGATACTGGAACTGAATGATAATGTAACACAAACCAGGTTTTTCTTCTCCATAATTTAGCTGTTAACAGTTTGCATGAATGGCTAGCCAATTGTTAGAGAAGAACACTTCAAATTAAAAACAAAATGCTTGTATCATCTAAAAAAAGCTAATGCCAAAAACAAAATCCAAAGTCCAGATGTCACTACTCATTACTGACGTGCGATAATTGATGTGGTGTTCCAGCCAAGTTTCGTGTTGGAAAATATGTTTTCCCAGCAAACCTGATGTGGTGCTATACTGGCCTCCAGTGGAGGGAAAGCATAAATCGAGGCATTTTTAAGTGGTGGGAAGAAAGAACAGTAGTATTTCTGAATGCAGAGGTCATTCATTCTGCAAGGGGTATATTTTTGAAAAATAGTTTCTGGTTTGTCCTTCCCTAAGCTTATGTGTGAAGTATAATATAGTGACTTATTTGTATTATGATGTTAACAATACAATATAATATTTAAGCCTCTCTTGTGCTTTTTGAGTGAGACAAGTTTGGTTTGGAGTCCAGTTCTCCATGGTTCATGCACCTGAGTCTCCTGCACATGGGCATCCCAAGCTCTGAATAAAGCTTAAAGAGACAACACACATCCATGCTGTTGATGCAGCTATTAGAAAGTACAAGCAGAGAAGCTACTGTATGTGTCTGCACAGAACCTTTTTTACATTTAAAAAAGTGAGCAAGAATGAAAAAAAAATATTTTCAGAAAATAGCTTTTTTAAATATAAATCAATTATTTTCTTTAAGATGCAAAGCTTTACTTTTGTGTTTGTGGCTAAATATCCACACTTTCCTACATCCAGTGTCAGCTGTGTCTTATACTTCTGGACCACCAGGAGTGGAGTTCCCCTTTATCTCTGCAGCCATAGACTCTCTCACTTTCTGATCATATTCTCAATAACTCTGGTGATCTGCCTCTCAATGACCATATTTGTTTCATCTTTCAGGCATTTACTCTGCAGGGGGCAAACTTTAACAACAGAGCCTACTAGTCACAAAAGACACAGTCATCTTGCCCACAGACCTGACCCTGACAGTTTGAGCCCTGAAGTACCTGTTCTCTGGAAAACATTCATGCACATTCTGCAAAAATGTCTCTTTTCAGTTTCCACCATCATACTGTGTTTATTGAAAGAATGACTCTATTCTCATGGCCCTCCTTGCAAATGTAATGTTATACAGTACTGAGAAATACAATCTAACAAGAGCCAAGACACATTTACTGTTGTCTAACAGAAATATTCAGTATAAAACGTAAATACCTTTGCAAAGAAATATGCAGTGACCGAGTACATTCCATCTTCCAGTTCATGGAAAATCATTGCTCTTTCTGAATGACCTGTTAAAGTGGATTTCATCAAATATCAGAATATAGAATTGGGATTGGAAAGCATATAAGCCTAAAATGAAAGGACCCACCGGATACAACTGATGTTGTGATCCTCGTAGATTATAATCATGCAGTCCAGGTACAATACCATAGGACTACTTGTTTACACTTAAAAAAGTGAAGCTTTACTTCCTTAATGCCTTTCCTTATACTGTGTGTGGAGTTCTGGGAGCTATCACTCACACTTGGCAATGACATCCAGCACCACAGCAAAGGGGGTGAGCGCTCCAATCATGTAGAGAAGAGACACTGTGTCCTGGACGGACAGCCGGGACGTTCCAGCCCCGAAGTACAGGAACCCTATCAGCAGGGACATCAGCAGAGCTTCCAGGCCATGGATCAGCAGTGTGGCCAAGTCCCGGAAATCATTGGACACCTGGCGTCTGGACAGAGACGAACGGGGAAAGAGAGGGACAGAGAGAGGAGAAGATAAGGAGAGGTTAGAAGAGGGTGAAAGACACAGAGGGTAGAGAGATAAGGTAGGTGGAGTTGGTAAAAAAGTGGAATTACCTGGAATTGCAATAATGAGAAGGGGGAAACTCTTTCACTCACTTATAAGGCTGTAATAGTGACATACTTCGCTTACACCTGAAGAAGGCTCCACAGCCGAAACATTGTGTTTTCTTTCTTCTCTTTTCAGCATGGAATAAACCTTTACTTGTTCCATAGAGACATACTGTATTTAATGACCACCTGCTAGGGTCTGCTTCCTAAATATTTATAATTGCTATGTTCACTTTCCTTTGTTATGAACAAAAGGTTTTCATATGGAAACACAATTTGCCACATTGATTGAAATGGAGGTACACACACCAATGTCATGCTGCGGCTTGTATGCAACAAGATGGGGGCTCCTCTTGTGCCAGTGCAGTGAGAGGACAGGCAGAGGGGACCATACCTCAACAGGATGGAGAACTGCTGCAGGCCTCCTGGCAACTTGTCTTTCTGCTTGGACACGGTGATGACCTCCTCATGGGACTGTGAGGGAGAGCTGTCAATCACAACACAAACACTAATGGGGTCTTGTTGCTGAGGTTATCTAGTTTAGATTCACCATCCATCTTCCTTGGTGGGTCAATCCTGTGTGCCTAGATCTTTGCTGGCACTAGAGACTTGCAAGCAAAGTTTCTACATTTTAAGTCAACAGCTTGGGTGGAATGAAAGGGCCTGTAGGTTCTCCAGGAGCAAGGTTAACAATAGTTCAGTGAATAGAAACATATATTGTATATGTGCCTAGAAATTGTGGTTGTTTTCTTTATTTTCCTATTTGTGTTGGTTGTCCCTATTATTTGTCAAGCAATAATAATACTTGATGAAGAAAATACATTTTCTTTTATGTTTTCTAAACTTTTTATTGGACCTTCTACCTGTCTTACAAATTGCAAATCCTCTTCTGTTGCATCACAAAAGCAGCACAATGGGACACAGCTAGGACAACCGAACTTTTAATTGTACAGATGTTGTGTTGGACAGACAGCAGATGTGAGTGAGACTGTTCCCAGGCAGTGCATTGGTACCTAGGGCCGTCCTCGGCTTGGCTGGCCTCTGCTGGTTTCCAGATGAAGTCGTCAGTTCCCTTCACCTTCTCCCAGAACAGGGTAGCCAGCATGCTGGCTCTGTCGCGACACTCCGACTCCTGTTCCACACTGCGGCGGTCTATACTGATCAGGTCCACTGTATAGGCAGGGTTAGAGAGATGGTGACTGTAAGTATTGTACACACGAGTGTAACTCCTGGCACAGTCGGGACATTAAAGTAAATCCTTCCCTCTGTGACAATGGTATATTTTAACAGTAAGAGCTGTCTTCAAATTCTGCAGATTTCAAGGAATAAATATATACTCCAACAGGACACGACGTACAACCAGTGTAATGATTCATGGGTTCCTGTGATTTGACAAAGTTTGGTCTTCACTCTAACGGCACAAAATCCTTAATGGCTTTTGGCAGTCTGCCAAATATGTCTTACAGATTTTATTATTGTTTATGAAAAGTATATGATTTAAAGTACAGATGCTGGCGGATTATGGCAACCTTTATGGATGTCCTATGGAATGGTGCTAAATGTCTCAGCTACCGCAGCATGACCCAGGCAACCAGACTTGCCGTAGAAGTCAGAGGGGTTGCAGTATCGGGGACAGGGGTACCCCAGTGCGGTGAAGTACTGCACCATGTCTTGTGCTGCTCCGCAGTACACTGTCGAGCCCGAAGACAGCAGCACCACCAGGTCAAAGAGCTGGAAGATGTCAGACCGTGGCTGGTGAACAGACAGTAGCACCAATCGGTTGCCCCTGGCCAACCGCGAAAGTGTCATCACCAGGTTGTGGGCAGTGAAACTGTCTAGGCCAGAGGTAGGCTCATCCAGAATCAGTATTCCTGTAGGAAGAGCACATACATGTTTATTAGATACTGCTTTCTCTGAAGGAAATTACCAGAGAATCCTAAAACATTATGTGATCGTCCACCCTCAAAATAGTCTCACAATTAGCTCACATTCTGAAATTAGATTTCTACTGCCTTGCTGGTTTCCATTTTCTTTTTCTTTATTCCAGAATTTCAAACAAATCTACAAGGAGGTATACTGAAACTCCCACTATAAGCCATTGTGAGAGTAGAAAATGTAGCCTGGAAAACCTTGTGGGGAGTCTCCTCTCGGGACTGGCACCTGGAGCAATGCTCACCTGGGTTCCAGAGCAGCTGCACGCCGATACTGACCCGCCGCCTCTCTCCCCCGGACACTCCCCGCACGTACTCGTTCCCCACTCGTGTGTGGGCACACTGCCGCAGTCGTAACTCCGCAATCACGTCATCCACCTGCAGGGACACATTGTAACGTCGTGGCCTATTATCACTGTCAGGAAGAGCCCCACAGTGAGTATTTCACCATTTAGTTCTGTCTGTATAAGGATTCCTGGATTAAAGGGCAACGGAGAATAACACATACTGTATATGCCATGGCATTGGCATCGTGACTAAGGCATGATTATGACTGATTAATCATTTGTTCTTAAAAAAGCTTTGAAAACCACAGGAAGTTCTTGATTTGCACTAGGGATGTTTTTCTAAAATAAATGCTGCGAAATTCAAAGAAGTGTAAAGTAAATAAAATATTTTTTCCCAAAAAAATGCCTTTCCCTCAGCCAGGAGAGTTATGCTAAGTAAACTTTTAATATGTTTAAAACTTTTAAAATCTTTCAAATCTACATTGAATTAAATCATTAGGAACAAAACACCCAATAATTATGTGTATTGAAAATGTTTATTGAGTGTTTCAGTCATAGTGAATTTATCTTAACCAGCTTGACTGAGGACCAGTCTCCTGGCCAGTGGACGCCCATGTGGAATGAGGAATGACTGAAGGGCAGTGGAGATGGGGTGTTTATGTTTTTTATGTTTGGTGCTATATACCTGTTGTCTAAAACAAATGCTGTGTAATTCAAAAACCATAAATGAATTAATTAGAATGTATTAATTAGCCTTGTCTTCAATGGGGCTGGTTTCAGATGGAGAGTATGACCTTCCCCCATTTCTGGGGCCACCAACAACTTTTCAGCTTCTAGTTTCCAACTTTCCAATTTGAATGCTGGTGAGTTCCTCACGTCACCAATCTTCCTGCTGATAGAGGTGACAATGGTGCACAGAGCTGTAGAGGCAAAGGCTGTTGTGTTTTGGTCTCAGAGTGCTCTCAGCATTTTGTGTTTGCTGAACTGCCTTTCAGCTTGCTCCCTGAATGGAGCGTGGCGGTGCACGGTACACGGCCTACCCTGTGGTCTCGCTGTCTCTGGGAGAAGTGTGCTGGGAGCCGCAGCTTGGCCACGAAGGCCAGGGTCTCGCGGACGGTGAGGTGGGGCAGCAGCCGGTCGTCCTGCCGCACGTGCGCAATGCTCTTCTTCACCAGCTGAGGGGTGCAAGGCCGCTCATTCACCAGGATCTCCCCCGACTTCACCGTCCCGCCCTCGTCCCGGCAGGTGATAATGTCCAGCAGTGAAGTCTTCCCGCAGCCTGGGGAGGTGGGAAAGAACAACTTAAAACTCAAAGCAATTATTTCGGAAGGTTAGGAAATAGAAAAATGAAGGGAAATCCCAAAGATATTGACCAAGACAACTCAATCAGCTTTGTAGTACATGCTGTGTTTGAGACAAGGGGAATAAGGAAGTTTGGTTTTATTAATGTAAACTTCTAGATATTGATATGATTAAGAGAACCTTATGTTCAGGCAAAATGCACATTCATGTCTGAACCACCATTCCCAGAAGGCTGTGTGGAATGGATGACCAGTTGATAAAGGTGATTTTTAAAAAACAAAAAGTGCACTTTTTTTTGGACAGTTTAATTTATCCTGTGTGCAACATCACTAGAGGGAAAAGGATCGACTGACTGAGATCTATCGACCGACCAACCGAGAAATACCAACCGACTGAGTACCTGGAACTGTGAGTAACTTTGGATGAATTTTCAAGATAGTCTCAGAGACAGGCTTGTATGTTTGAGAATTGTGATAAGAGTCTGAATGTTTTTCAAGCTGTTTAGCAGCCTAGCAGCCTATGGGTAGTAAGGGACATCTACTGTAGATAGCAGCTCAAAAAGAAGCTAGGTTTTGGTATATTTTGTTTTGTTAGTTTCTTTGCATTGTGAGTTGCTCTAATTTTTACTTTATGGATGTGTTTGTCTGTTTTCCTTGGCCCACCTGTATTAAATATAGCATTATGGCATGCCAAACCTGGGGTGCTACAAAATAGAAATTGTGGGGGAAAAGTGTTTCTCATATATAGAGAGTATATGTAAATAGTCTGAAACTTCCTAAGTAAAAATATAAAATAAAGCCTTCCAAAACATACGTAACTACCATATTACCTCATGAGATCCCCACCCTCTTTCGGAAGTGACACAAGTGCTGGTTGTGATTTACCTGAGCTTCCAATGATGGCCAACATCTGGCCACTCCTCACTTTAAGGTTGAGGTTCTGGATGGCCATCTGTTTACCCTCCTTGAGCTCCCATGGCATCTTAAACTCCGCCAGCTTCTCGTACCATGGGATCTGAGCTGCAGTGTCCACCTGGTCAAGTGACACCAAGGACAGCTTACACCTGACCCTCTGCTCTGCACTTCAGCGTGGTACTGTCAGCGTGGTACTCACATAATACAATACAAATAATAACAACCACAGCTGTGTTAGGATAACCCAGCTACAAAGGTAAGATGGATTTATGAATATGTATTCAACTCAAAACAAGTGAAGACCGACAGTTAACAAAATACACGTGAAGGAAAATATAACAATACATTTTCCATAATAACTAAAACAGACTATACAAAATAAGACTCAAGCATGTCCAGTATAATGTTTTTACTTCCTGAAATGTTTTGAAAGAGTAAAAAGAGAAAAAGAATTCTGCTTCGGTTTATGAGAGGGAATAATATTGCAACAGCAGCCCAGTTAATGATTTAGAGTTCTGGCAAGTGTCGGGAGAGACGGGCATTCCTTTTACCTCAAAGTGCAGGTCTCTGACCTCCAGTACATTTTGGTCTCCACTGTATGTAAAATACAGGCTGCTGTCTTCATCTGGGGATGAGAATAGACGCTCCCTGTGTTTCTAAAGAAAAATCCGAAAGAAGGGATGTTAGGGCAGGACTAGAGTATGTCTTCTCACTTGGGGTTTCCAAAACACATACTATCTCCATAGTAACCACTAGAGAGTTTTAAAGGTGTGAAGTCGAAACCTGCAAAGGAATAGAGAGGATTAAAAGGAAACGAGTCTGTCGTTGAGAGAAGGGGGAGGTGCAATCCTTTCCCTTTCTCTCAGCAACAGACTCATTTCCTTCTGATCCTCTCTAATCATTTGCAGGTTTCCACTTCACACCTCTCCTCACCTCTCTCGACTTCGCACCACCTGCGTGCCCACTCTGCCTGCTTTCTTGAATGTCTTAGTCACTTGTGTTTTAATTTATTATTTATACTTTTTGAAAAAACTTCATGTAAATAAATTTTAAGTTAAACAAATGTACCAAATTAACTAATAACAATGTTTTTTTGGGCCCAAAACGTGACAGAGAAAACGTGATTAAAAGAGGAATAGCACTGATTTGTAAGAACAACAAAGCAGGCAGCAGGTGAACTAACAATACCTGTGATAAGTGGGTAATGAAGTCCATCACTTGAGGACCGATGATTGCAAGAAAGAGAATGGAAATGATAACAATCCACCACAGTACCAGCAAAAGAAGAAACAGAAATGCTGACAGATTTCAAATGATAATGAGAAAGGTAAAGGAACAGACGCTTGCTCTTACTTACTTCGTGAGGTGTACCAGCGGTGAAAGATCCATTAGATGTGGGGATGCACTCTATAGACATTACTGCAGAAGAACTCCAATAGCCGCCTAGGAGTCTGGTGTCCTCATACTCACAGTATTCACATAGACACTGAACTGTAGCAACAGCACTTGCCTCACTTTCAGTGTGACATGAAATAAAGACTTTATACCAGGTGCGCTTTCTCTTTATAGAGTGAGGACCAAAGGTTCCATCTGATAACAACTTTTAGCGTTTATTTATCATGCCAGACGCAGACAGGATTTTGTAATATTATGTGACGAGCCATTTGAGCTCCGGAGCTGCTGTGAACAGTTCTACTTTAGTGTAATTCATCTAAATATGAATAATGAATATTGAGTCTTGGTGGGGGGACTCCTTTTAAAGAATCATTCAAACAATTTTCAGACAGGACAAAGCAGAAGAAAGCCAGCCTGATGTCTACTGCCTGTCCCTCCTGCTGTCTTAGCGTCAGCCAGATCTCCTACACTGTCAGGTAAGGAGTCAGGAATCTCTCCCTGTCCACTATACCTCTGTGCTACATTTACAGAGCTTAGGACTTAAAAATGCAAAGCTGTTCATTTAAATGAGCCACAGAAAACAAACAAACTTCTTTGACTATTAGAACTAAAAGAGTATTTCTACCCTGGAATTATCTTTAACTGGTAGAATTACTTAGTGTTTACATATAAATTATTTTAACATGATAGACTTGTTCAAATTTTAATAGTCATTAATAAGCCTTCATAACATGTGTCTAGGTTTTGATATTGATATCAAAGTGCTTAGACATTTAATAATATCTTAGACATTTAATATATCTTAATCGTGTGTTCTGACCTTTCCATGTAAGGAGAAAATAAAACTTGACTTCTGTAGAATTACTGTATGCACATCGAAATTAGTTTTTACTGTATCTTTGATTATATCTCTCTTCTGTAGTGAGCGAATGGGCCCATGGTGGGAGATTCTGTCCCACAGAAAGAAGTGGACTCGCCAGATCCTCAAGGATGTGTCCTTCCATGTGGACAGTGGGCAGATCATGGGCATTCTTGGCAATTCTGGTGGGTATTGTCAACGCTGGATTGAAACACACCTGGGTTCTCTGCTTTCTTTCTTTCTGCTGCATTTCTTGCTAGAAATTTAAATTTGCAGAGCTTTCTTTCATCGGACCATTTTGTACTAAATCTACTTTTACTTTAAATTTAGATTTCAGTGTTGCAGCCAAGCCAGAAAAATGATATATATAATTAATAAATGATCAAGTTATAGGTTTATTCCATGCTGCAAAAAGAAGGTGACCTGAAGAAGGCTCCACGGCCGAAACGTTGTGTTCTCTTTCTTCTTTTTTTCAGCATGGAATAAACCTATAACTTGTTCCTTTGCAGCCTACGCATGCTGACGCAGCTCCCCACCTGAATTAATAAATGATGTTCCCTGGCATCTCTGACTTGTTTCTGCAGCCAAGACAGGCAACTCACCAGTCAAGGCTGTCAGAGGTACTGAAGGGCGTTTTCCACACTGATTACTATACCATGCAGAATGTTCCCTCAACTGTATCTCCTGTGTGCTGGTGCTACAGGCTCGGGAAAGACCACCCTGCTGGATGCAATTTCGGGACGCATTGGTAGCACAGGGACCTTGCAGGGAGACGTGTACCTCAATGGACAGACACTGAAAAGGGACCAGTTTCAGGACTGCTTCTCTTATGTGCTGCAGGTCTGTCTATGTTAGACTACTAGTACAACAAGTGGCCTGGGGCTATTTGAAAAAACATTTTGCACTGTGCGATCATGGTACTAAATATTTTTTAAATTAGTTTGCAAGACTTTCTCCATTGTAATCATTTTCTTGGAGAACTGTATTGGGGACCTCTTTGTTTAAATCAGATATTGCTTTCTGGTTCATGAAAGCATAACATTCCTCCAATTTACCTCCTCATAGGTCAAGAATACTAACCAACAAAGTAATGTTAGACCAACACTGAGAGTAATCAAGTGTTATACATAGGTATTAACAATCATCCTGATTTTAATAAGCAGTTTTAGTGACATCATCTCAATCCGACTGATTTGATCTTGAAAGATTTAGCATGGGCTGGGATATCAAAACACAGCCCTTGGAGCTAGACACAAGAAAGCACAGTCTTCTAGGATTTCGAAGTTTTGGAAACTGATAGAAGACAAGAGTCCACAAAGTGCAACTGATGCATCTGTATAGAAAAGATCTTCATAAATGCTAACAATTTCATTATTCTCAATACACATTTAGCAGATGAACTATTCCACGGTCTCTAAGAAAGCTGAGAATCCGTATACTGTATGTCACTGCTGAAAGTTGAGAATAACTCTGTTATCACTGGTCAATGCTGAATTTAGTAAAGTTGACCCTGCCTTTCAGAAGCAAGGAAAGATTAGCAAGAATTACAGATATTGCTCATAATCTATATTATGAGTTGTTCAAGTGTATCCAGTGGTAAATTAAATAGGCTAGGGTGAAATTCAGCAGTTTTGAATAATCTTTTTCTCCCTAGCAGATAAAATCCACATTATGTGCAAGAGCAAAACATAATCCTGTAATTTCATTTTAAAATAAGCTGCTGAGAAAAAAGGGAGATACGTCATCTCCCAACAGGAAAGTTTGGTTTATATTATCACCTGCTATAAGCTGTTGTTGCAGTAGGGGTGGTAGTACAGTACAATTGTACAGTATCTAAAGTGCATAGCACAATGTAACAGGATGATCACACTTTGATATGGCACTAGCCAAGAAAAAGATTGTAAAATAAAAGCCAATTAAAGCAAAAAGTGCTTGAAGTTCATCACAGTTTATCTTGAATATAAAAGTCAGATATCAAAACCATAGTCTCAAACTCCAAGAGAACCAATAAGTAAATTATTAACTAACATTTGATGACACAGAGGGCATGATAACAGTGCTTTAAAAATTATTTATATTCTTTGTATAAAGTTTAACAAAATTCAGACCTACAAATGTTGTAAAGGTCTGTTGTTGTTGTTACATAATGTTATAAAACCTTTCTTTTAGATCCTTTTAATTTGAGTCTCTGTAATATTTTTTATCAGATATTCAACCGCTGCTAATATGAGTTTGCTCTAATGAATCGCTGCCTGTCATTTTTGCTCTAGAGTGATAACCTGCTGAGCTACCTGACAGTAGAGGAGACTCTGACATACACTGCCCAGCTGTCCCTGCGGAAACACACCACTCTCTCCATCCGCAAAAAGGCAAGGAGAATCTCTCCGCTGGATGGGTTTACACAGCTGAGTTGCCTGAGAAGAGAACGAGAGCAGAAATGTGCAAGCATTCAGTCATTTAATTTATTGATCTACCCTTGGTTAACGCCAGGTCATGAAACAACTTCGGCATTAAATGTATAAATAAAACAATAGTCAATTGATAGCAAGGAACATGTAAGAAAGAGTCCTGTTCACAGTGTGGTCTGCTGCAGGTTGGAGCAGTGATGGCAGAGCTGAGCCTGAGCCATGTGGCCCAGAGTGTCATTGGTGGGCGAGTGTTTCCTGGCATTTCAGGGGGCGAGAGGAGAAGAGTGTCCATCGCGAGCCAGCTGTTGCAAGACCCCAGTGAGTGTTACCATGGCACCCTGAGCACGGTGGCCAAACACACACCTACATCCAACCCTTAGAGACAGCAGTGACCAAGCTGGACCTATGACAAACTGTGGGGCTCTATCTAGTCGTGTGCCCCCATATTTCATGCAGGGTCAGAAACAGATGGCCAAGTTAAAAGTTGAGTGATGACATCGCACGCACAGATAAACTGCGAGAACACAGGATAATCCCATTAATCTGGGTAATGGAGGTTGAAGAGGGCAGGTTTGGGCCCATAAATAAGAATCTGAACCCCCTCTATGCCTTGCTACTGTATTTCAGTTTCTTGCTGTTTGTAGACTCCCACGTACAGCTTCTAATTAATGCTGATTTTATTTTTCAGAGATGGAATATAACAATTGATGAGACATATCATGCTAGATATTTTAGGCAAAATGAAACTTTTTTGAAATGTTGCGGAACCTCTCTTTGCTGGTGTAGTCACTGGAATAGACTTGGATACAGGGGAGATGTAGGGTATCCAGCAGAGGGGCTGGTTATTTCTGGCTCACAGGTGTCTGGCATGAGCTTGTTTCTGGATGACCTACCAATTCCAGTTAAATTACTTGTATAAAAGTATGCAGTTGATTGTTCGTTGTTAAACAGATGTGGCCTTGGTTATTTTCTCTGACAGTGATAAAATTAAGTGAAAAAATTAAGAGTAACGAGGAATTTCAGACACCCGAGAAATTCAACAACTGAACATAAACACCTATCAGGAAAAACAAAATGCTTTATTTGTCATGCATTGTGTGCCAAACCGATTGAAAATTTGCAGCAGTTAGAAGCACTAAAAAACAAACTTTGAATAGGTTCTTAAAATCAGCAGACATCATTTGATCCCAACTTTGGAAGGAGTTTGTTCATTCATTATCATTTAATTAAATTATTCATTTTATTTCTTTTACCTTATTGTACTCGCACTACTTTCTTGCAATTTCACCATATAAATAATCTATATTGTAAATCATCTTGGATAAGGCCACTCAGCTACAACTAAGTAACAGTTTAAAATGTAGTTAGAAAAAACACCAACTATAAATATAAGGTAGGAATCACTAAACTTGAAGAAACTACTTGCCTAAAGGACTTAAATGTTTTTGTTGACGAAACAACAATGCTGGGAACCACTATGAAATGCATATGTAATGTTAATTTATGCTGTACAAATACCAAATTGAAATCAAGGAATTTTATATTAAAATTGTGTAATGCACCAGAAATATTTAATTTAGATTTTACATTTTGTTGTGTACCGTTTTGATCACTGTGTCACAACAAAGATACAACTACTGTGAAAATAGTCCAGAGGAGAGTGACCAGATACATTTCCGAGTTTAAAGGAATGTTGTATTCTGACAAGCCAGAAAGTCTGCATCTTTATAGTCTCAAACAGATTCAGGTATTCACTATCCTCAAAGACTTTGACAAAGTCAACCCAATAGACACAGTATATTCAGAACCAACAGTGGAAAAGCACACTGATGGATATAAATGAAAACTACAGGATAATTCTTTAAAACTGAGTGCAGGAAGCATCTTTTTATACAAAAGGGTTGAAATCTGCTCCTTTCTGAAGGAGATCCTTGGATTGATTACCTACCTGTTAACTGGACCAAATAGCCTCTTCTTTTTCATGTTATTAGCATGCATTTATTTTCATTATAAAATTATTTTGCATAGGCCAACTAACATTGCATGATGTACATGAAATACTGAGTAGATTTTAAATGGACAGATCAGTAATCTACCTATTTAGAGCTGCTGATTGTTTAGCAATGGTAAATGTGCAGTGAAAGGTGATGGGATTTGTGCCATCAGGATAACATCCAGCACACACATTAAGTGTAGTGTCATTTTGGACTTTGCTACTCAGCATTCAGAGGGGAGTGAAATCAGGCACTCAGTGACAGCCTGCCCAGCCTGGAGAGAGGGACCTCCCTAGTGCCAGTTATCAGAGCTCAGCGCTGCAACTCATTCAGGATTAGATGGTGAATTCTCACCATGCAAATGCCCACAAATAATGATGTGTTCCTGTCTACTGGCTTTCCAATCAAGCAAGAAATTAATTTGATAGACACAATTAATTTCTTTCTTAATTTTCCTTTCCTTACAAAAACATCTATTAATTGTTTTTAATTTTGGAAATATTGACTTGCCAGTATCTCTAATGGGTGCTTTGATTGTCCTTGCAAGAGGAGACACCTCAGAGCAAAATGAGCCAAAAGTAGATTGCAGTTGTCTTACTCAAACTTCTCTCTTGTTGAATGTCTTAGACTTCTGGACAGATATGGACAAAGGCACATTAGTATTGTGGCAATGTTTCAGTTAAAGTTTGCCATTTTTTACTTACTACTGGAGGGATAGTTCATAAATTCGCTAATATCTAGTATCATGAGACATAGCCTTATGCATGGTATTTAGCCACTGCTGAACTGTGTGCTTTAAATGACCTATTTTGCAGAGATCATTCTGCTGGATGAACCAACCACAGGCCTGGACAGCATGACAGCCAATCAGATAGTAGTGCTGCTGAGCGAGCTTGCGAGGAGGGACCGTATCGTCATAGTGACCATTCACCAGCCAAGGTCGGAGCTCTTCAGGGTACGAAAAAAGGCCCTGTTAGGAGCAACTTTATATTACCGTCCACAGAGCCAATGAAAAATAAATACAAAAATGACTCTTACCTACCTTCCAGAAGCTGAAAAAGAGGCTCTCGGTTTTAAAAACTGTTGAAAACTGTTGCGTTACCATCCTGTCCCCCAGGTCTTCAGCAGGATAGCCATCATGAGCTGTGGAGAACTGGTGTTCTGTGGGGAGCCAGAGGAGATGGTACAGTTTTTCAGCAGCTGTGGCTATGATTGTCCGGAGTACTGCAACCCATTTGATCTCTATGGTAGGGTATGAGCAGTTAGTTGCTCTTTAGAAACTACTGACATGCTTTTTGGTTCAAGAATGCAAATAACATTTTTCTACTATTAGGGTGGAAAACATTTTAAAAACAAAAATGAGTTCTGCTCTACAGCCAATGGCAGAGTACTGTATGCAGTTTTGTGTGTTGGCCGTCAATATATTTCCACAAGAAACTGTTGGATCTTTCCTTTCTTCTTTTAAAAGCATGTCAAAGCAGAACTATTTCTGAAATTCATCTCACTTCATAATGCTGATTTGATTGGCAGTGGATCTCACGTCAGTGGACACACGGAGCAAAGAGAGAGAGGTCGCGACCTATAACCGCATGCATGTCATCACCTCAGCCTATCAGAGCTCTGAGGTCTACCAGAGGATGCTGGGAAGAATAGAAGAAAGCTGCCAGGTTCACGACAAGACGCCCATTCCTTTTAAGAGTAAAGAGTCTCCCAGCAGTTTCTTCAAACTCTGGGTGCTCCTCAGGTATGTCCAGAGTAATCTGTCTCATTTTATCATTACCTATTAGAAGCAAATCACATTATCGTGTCTCATGCTTCTTTACATTTTGATTCCAAGGTGTTCAAACAGAGATCTTTAACTTATTTGGAAGACAATAAACCTTTAGAGTTCCTTATTACAGTAATGTAACACAGCCTGGGATGTAAAACTAAAATGAACCAAACAAACTCAGTAGACCGAATGGCTCCTTCTCATGTATAATTCTTGTGTTTTTCTATTTCTAGATCTCAAAAGAGCAATATTAATGAAGTCTACAAATTTCGGACCTTTAGCAACCCAAGATTGCTATACGTATTTTTATACGTCAGTTCAATAACTATTTTGGTAAAATTTGAACAGATACGCTTCTTCCCGTAAACTTAAACCTGCATAATTCTCAAAACCATACTCAGGCCTCTTGTAGAATAAAAGCCCAGGAGGGGTGGTCAAGTTGTGAATAGTAATTTTAATCCCATCTATTGTCCTCTGGTAACAAATCTCTGCTCTAACCTGGGTCTGTGTAGGAGGACGGTAAAGAACCTGTCCCGCGACAGAATTGGCATCCTGATGCGCCTGTCCCAGAATCTCATCTATGGCCTCTTTGTGGCTTTCTTCGTCATGAGGCTGGACGATGACATCACCAAAGGGGCCATCCAGGATCGGATTGGGGTCATATACCAGTCCATGGGGGCCTCGCCCTACACAGGCATGCTGAATGCGGTAGCTTTGTGTAAGTATACAAGCCACACATACTGTATCCCCATTAGCTTTCATTTACTCATGACATTTAGTTAGCAACCGTCATTGTCACTTTAAATTTATCATCTTAACATGTCTTATTTTACGTATTTTGTATTTATGTATTTTTTATACGTTTGACGAATGCCAGGAATGGCAGCGCCGTCGTTAGAATTGCTATCTTTCAGTGTTGGGTGGGGCCCTGGGTTCGATTCTGGACCTGAGTTGTTATCTGTGTGGATTTTGTGTGTTCTCCCCATGTTTGCTTTGAGTTTCCTCACACAGTCTAAATGGGACTATGAGTTTCCTCACATAGTCCAAAGATAAATTGGTAAGATAATTGGTTTTAGGGAAAACTGACCTTGGTGTGCATGTGAGTGTGTGCATGATTGTATCAGTGTCTGCTCTGCAATAGACAGGTGTTCTGTCCAGGGTGTATCCTAATTTATACCCATTGCTTCCAATTACCCTAAATAGATAGATGTTTGAATAATATCAAAAATCAAATGAAGGAAAAGTGTCTGTGAAGTTTTTTCATGTATTATAATGACACCATACAGTTCAGTGTCTAGAAAATGCAGGGAACTTCGTAAACCACAAACCAGCACCCTTTTCATTTATCAGTAATGAAGGCATTGTAAACTTTTACAAGGTTTACACACTGATCTTTAGATAAGTGCCTAGAATGACATGACACAGAAGGAAAGCTTCTGCATTAGGCTAGTAAAACCTGTCCTTGAGCATCTACAGTCTCAATGTCTCTGTCATAAAGTTTGCAAGATATACTGAAGTAAAACTCAGTTCAAAACATTATCCTGTTGCCTTGGACATGCATTCAAAACAGCTTTATTTTTTAATTTAATTCCAGTTCATGATCAATAGGGGTTTTATGTGAAGAGCCTCTCATGCTTCCCTTACATGTTAGCTGCAGAGAACTGGACATGCTGAAATTCTAGTCACCCTCACAGGATCAGAACCACAATAATCCAATAATTACCTGGAATGGCCCAGTTTCTTCAGTGAAGATGTGCTGTTGTGTCAGTTTGCACGTGTTAATATCTCAGCTGCTGTTTGTTCTCTCTGCAGTTCCTGCTCTAAGGGCAATCAGTGACCAGGAAAGCAAAGATGGTCTCTATAAGAAGTGGCAAATGTTCCTGGCCTATATAGTCCACATCCTACCTTTTAGCATAGTCAGTGTGTTCATCTTCTCCTCCTTTTTGTACTGGTAAGCACTGCCTTTTTGCTTTTGAGCTGGGGTATCAGAAACAACTTTTGTAGGCAGAATACCAAAGCAGGTGACAGTCACTCTAAAGTAGAACATCATTTACATCGCTGGTGGCACTCTCCACTTGCAGTTAAAGGGCAGAGCCATTATTCTTCAACATAACAAAACAATGTAAATGGCATTTTCACTCTATTTTTAACCTTTCTTTATAGATATGAAACTGTGTCTAATAGTCTTCAGAGGATTTGCACTTTCAGTAACCCCAAAGTTGACTTACTGTATACCAGGGCTGGGACCTGCTAGTCCTTGATGCCCGGAATTAACTAAATCTCTGATTTATATCTAATTATTAATCTCACAGAGCCTGTAGCTTGGTTTTAGAGCATGTCAGTGTGGCAGGCCTGTCTTTAGCGCAACAGCAGTAACAATGGACCCACCACTAGAGCTCATTAAAAGGTATCTATTACTGTATATGTAAATAGGCTCACTGGGCATCAATTAGGGAATTACATTATTGGTGAAGGGTTAGAACCCACATTCTCACATTGTTGAAATTAGTAAGGAATGGGTATTTACAGTAAAGGGCTTTCGTGGTGGTTGTGTTTGGTAGTAGTTGTGGGCTGTCAAAGTCTGTTTGGGAGCAAGTTTGTAAAACTCTGCAGTAAATCTTCACATACTTATAGTCCTTTTAACATGTTGAGATCCTTGGAGACACCTTGTCTAAGAGTGGGATCTGTCACAACCACAAATCTATACACTAGAAGATCTAGGGGAAAAGATAAGTAATTAGTTCAATTTAGCCTTCAGCTGAAATCAAATTCAGAAGTGGCTTCGATCTCTTTGGCTAGCCTTGATGCGATGCAGTGCAGTGCAGTGCAGTACAGTTCAGCAGTGTGTGTGCTCTCCCTGGCAGGGCAGTTGGGATGTTCCCAGAGGTGACGCGCTTCCTGTGTTTCTCGGCAGTCATCCTGGTGCCACATGTCGTGGGTGAGCTGCTGACACTGGTCCTCCTGGGTGTGGTTCAGAATCCCAACATTGTCAACAGTGGTGTGGCCCTTCTCAATGTGGCTGGCATCCTAGTGGGCTCAGGCTTCCTCAGGTGGGCTTTTGGCAGCAACTGCCTGGGTTGGGCAACTTCTCGGTCCTGGTGGATAATCAGTTTACATTAGCATCCCATCCCTGTGTCTCCTGAATTATTCAGGCTATGTCTTTTTCTTTACACTCAGTAAGCCAGTTGATTCCTAATGTATTCTAATGTCACTTGTAAGAAAAAAAACAGCAGCTCCAATCTTTTTACTTGGAAAACTTTACTATTGTAACAGATACTATAGTTGCCAAGTAGGTGGCTTCAAGACACTAGCAGCACTACAGGTGGCACAGCCCCTGGATTCAGCAGAGTTCTTCTGAATAATGTTTATCGCTTACACTGTCTTTTTGCACCATATTCCTGCTTCACAGTGACCATCTATTGTGTGTAGTTGACTCTTAACAGTAGAAACCACTTAGTGTAAGCAATTCAATCTCTTTTGTTTCTACATGGTTTTATAAGACCTAGCCATTCACCATTTGGGTAATCAATTCATACTGTACTTTCCCACAGATGAAGTCTGGAACCAATTATGAATTTTCAACAGAATTAAATCATTATAAACTCACAGCAGGTGGAATGAGTCATATTCTGGTGTGTTAATGACTATGAGTGTTAATCACAAGAACAGATTCTTTCACAGTAAAGCCTTTGTACTATATGGACAAGACCTTAATATATTGGTGACGACAAATGAAATGTAATTATTTTTGTCCCACATCCTTATGGTTATCATGGATTCAGGGTTCTGCTTGAACTAGTTTTACGGCTTTTCCATAGACAACCTTTTCTTGTCTTCTAAAGGAGTTCCCAGGAGATGCCTGAAATCTTCCAGTGGCTCAGTTACCTCACCTTTCAGAAGTATGGCTGTGAACTGCTGATTGTTACCGAATTTTATGGCTCAAACTTTACTTGTGGTATGTGATGCTTTCATAATAAGCTCAACCATTGAACAAAGAGAAATTAAATGAAGTCCATATTGATATATTATTGCATAATGGTTATATACTGTATACCATGAACAAGAAGACTCTTAGGTTATAACAAAAAAACGAGAACAAAGGTTGTTGCAATGTAACTGACTATTCTATCCTGTCAAAGCTGAGTAGTTTGTTCTAGCTATTGTTTTAAACATCCATGAAACTCCATAATTTTCATCCTGTGTTTGTAGGGGGATCTATAAACACCACACTCAGCAATCCAAAATCCTGTGTAATAAGTGATGGATCTCAGATCATTGAAAGAGGCTACGCAGGAGCACTTTCTCGTTACACACTGGACTTCCTGATGCTCTATGCTTTCATCCCAGCCCTCATCCTCCTGGGAATCATTAGTTTCAAGATCCGTGATCGCATTGTCCAGCGCTAACAGCTGAATTCACTGAAGGGTTACACACTTGCACACAATGTGCTACATTTATTGTACAATGGGAGAAAAGTATGTGGGGATTTTATTCATTTATGCAACTTAATTAAACTGAACTGCAAGTGAAGGATTTATATTCTTAAACTTTTCAAAATAGTTAGGGATTAAAAAGTAAATTCAATACTCAAGTTAAATGCAAGTAGTGGATATGCCTGACTTTGTTTTGTAAAATTATAAGAATATGCTAAATTTTCTGGCAATTATTTTTTTATATTTTTAATTGAAAGTTATACTGATTATACTGATTATACTGATGTGAGAAGGCCAAAACTGTCCAATATATCCAACAGATTTATAATCTGGCAAAAGGTCTACAAAATCAAAGGAAATATTTTATTTTAAACGAACTTTTCGTGTATTTTTGTAGAAAAAAAAAAGTTTTCCCAAACAATAAAATACATAAAACAACCATTCCCATACTCCACACAAACCCCACCTCAAATTTCAAAATGTCCTAGGTTTAGAATAACCTGTCCTTAACTGGAAAATAGAAATAGAACAGAGGTATAATAATAACACTAAATACTGACAGTGATTTCAGGACTTTCAGCTTTAAATAAACTATCTACAACATTTGCACTGTGATACAACTAAGATATATTTACTGCAGTTAAAATACAAAAATCGAGTCTATTTCTTTGTCCTCCGACATTGATTCTTGTTTGTATTTAGTCAAATATTTTAGCTCTTCACTGACAAAGTAACAGACATTCATTTGTTTTGCTGTGCTCCATTATTTTGTTGAGAAGGGGGAATTTTAACTCCTTCGAGAATCCAGCTCCAGTCCTCTCCAGGACTGTGAAGCATTTTTCTTGTACTGTTCCAACTCCTTTGAAGAAAGAAACAAAAACCAAGTAAAAAACAAGAAGGTGTTATAGAGCATTACTGACACTTTCATTTGAATGCAAGACTGGACATGGAGATGAGTGGAAGAGATACATACAATTATCAACAGTTGGTTTCTGACAGTTATTATTAAGGAGCAGTTAGACAGCTATCATAGGTAAACAGGTACATATTTAACAAACATCATAAGTAAATTAAAAAAAGAATGATACCATTTATAATATACAACTCATGGGTACATCTGTAGTGAAGTTATCATTTACAGAACAAACTGGACTAACTGTGCATACTATAAACACAATGACATCTCAAGGGTTTTGGTATTATTTAGTAAAATATGATAATGCCAACTACTCATGATGTGGAAGATCCAAGTCCAGTAGGCTAGAGGTGTAAAAGTTTTACTCCTTCAATTAAAACAAAAGAATTATGAGGAAGGTTACTGGAGGTCATCTTCTTTTGTGCTAAACAGGAAAGACTCACACTTTACTCCACATAGGAGCTTATCTTTTTATAAGATCATGAATGCTATTCTAGAAAAAGGTTACTAGAGGGTAAGACAGAAGTTACAAGGGTGTAGCTTTTATCTACAAGTAACACAATTGTCTCCTGTGTAAAGAAAAATCCAAAGAATTGAAGTTGCCTCTCACAGTCAGGTGCACTTTGATATAGCACTATTAGGCACACTGAGCATCACAGATACTACGACTGCTTTACATATTCCAGCCTCAAATCTGTGTTAGTCTCCTGCACAAAACCCATTTGATTTGTGTTCTGTGTCTTTGCTCCTTCAATAATTCTTATTGTAAATACATGGATATTAATACATCAATATTATTATTCCTGTTTAAGAAATGTATTGATGGCCTCAGGAACTCTTGTGATTTCTGATTTCCAATATTAATATTAATAATATTTTAATCCCTTTAATTAAGGGTAGTAAGACCTTTCAGTTTTTAGCTTGGACGAAGTTGGGAAAAAACTGACAAATCAGTGTTATTAACTTGAGTACCAAATGCTGTTTTTTAGTATTTATAGTATTTTTAGTATTTAGTTCTTATCCAGCACAACATACAATATACTGTATATAATTTAAATGATTTATTACTATAAACCAAAAATGCAAATGCCCTATATGAATTCTATTTCCGGTGAAAAAGTACATTTAGAAAATTACATTGTCAGCTGGTAAATTAAAACCATAAAATTTCCTTATAGTGTCAGAGATACTGAAGGTTTTATAATACTCATTTAGATAAGCTCCAAGTCACTAAATATCTCAAACTTGAAATGTGCAGAATACTTATGGGAGGGTTTAATACCCTCCCATTGTTTTCATCTGTTTCTATATGTAACAGATGAGTAATCTATTAAAACTTACTGAAAGTCATTTTAGACTTTTTTCCAATGTATACTTGCTCCCTATTAAGTTTTTTATGATGAGGAATAATGTGAATTTACATCAAGTAAATAGGAACTGGAGAGCTGACATACTGCGAGATTCAAACGCAATGAGTTTCCAATTACAGAGTATTGTAAGGAACGAGGAAGTGACTGAATCCAGACTTTAAAACTGCAGTGTCTACACGCCATATTCTGCTTTATAAAGAGACTGACACTGACTGATAATCATGAACAATTCATACTGTACTTATGTTTACATCAGCACATAACTCTTTCATCCATACAGCACCAAATTGTGGAGTTTCAGAGTATCTTAAAAATGGCAAAAGTACAGTCAATCTTTTATCTGCTCAACAGAAACAGAAGCAATCTATTGCAGTGAGATAAATACTTATTATTGTGGTGGGGATAATGTATTACTACAACAAAATTCTAATCAAATTACACACAATTTAAAAAAAAATCAAGTATACCTGGTCTTTTTGTGCTCTCATAGAATCAACCTCAGGTTCTGCATATTGAGGATCCTTTGCTGGGTCTTTGATGTCTTTTGGATTGTTGGTACTCTGCAAAATTAATTTGAGGGTTCTCATCATTGACTTAAAAGTATGGCTTGGATCTTTATTAGCATTCACTCTGAAGAAAGCAGTAAACTGATATTAAAAGTACCAATGAATGATTTAGCTACTGTTATTTCTTAGAATCCACAGAACATACTAGGAAACAGCATGCAGAAATAAGTCAGGCAAGAAAGAAGCATTGAGGGTATTCTAATTTTTTTCAGTTTCATTTTAACTAATGGCATATGACCTCAGTTATTTTCTACTTTTCTTGGGAAATAGTCAAACATTTTAAACATTTATCATATTCACTGAAACTAAATTGTGTAACTACAGTATGCACGAAAGATACATACTGTACAGTATTTTACATTTTGCTTACAGATATAGTGAATTCATCTACTGTCCTTTTTTCTAACTGTATTGTTTTTGTAATAGTTTGCATTTACCATCTAAATCTTATCATTAAACTCTTCAGATTTTTATTTAGTCTTCAAGTTCTAAGATGGTACATTTTTTTCAACTCCTGTCTTAGGTACAGTAAATGGATGAAAGGTAACTGATCAAAGGTTGTGTTTTCATACTAATTAAGCTTCTAGATATCAGTCATTTCTGGAAGTATTAACATAAATGGCAATATGTATTGAACACTGATTAGGGTTAGACTGAGATATTTTCCTTTATCTTGGATCTAGAATGTAATGTTGGCGATCCTAAATACTCAACTTTTCTCATGCATCTAGATTTTACACAACCATCTCACTGGGCATATACACAGTGTTATTTGAGATGTGAGGAAATGCAAGAAGGGCAGAAGATACATCCATGCCCAATCTGAGTATTTCAGATCGCCCCATACAATCACTGGCATGACTGAAGGCAGGCAGCCTGTGTGTGAGACAAGTTGCCTGGAAAATGAAATGTTCCATTTCAACAATCAGAAAACCAGTGCAGAGAAACCAGCTTCAAGAGAGGGCCAGGTCACATTCTGGATATTTAATCAAAATTCAAGATTTTGTATAATGATGAATGTTTTCATAACAATTACATAACATAACAATAACTTTCAATTTCATCTTCCTGACCCTCTACTTCCTGCTGATATAAGCGGACTGTAAAACAGTGTCACACTGTTCCAGCTGTGTAAATTTGGTTACAGAGTACAAACTCAAACAGCTGCCCATACCTCTGGGGGAAAGAGTCTCTCGTACACCTTCTTCCAGAGGTCTAAGGGATTTTTAGCATGCAGTGTTCCAATGTCAAAATCTGTTGTTGGTGGAGAACCTTGAGAACAGTAAAATAACAGTATATTTATAAGCACAGCATAATTAGTATGTGTCTTCATATATTATTTTTTTAAATGTCCCAGGAAAATGTTATATTAATTAATTAACTGTTTTGCCAACATCACATGATAATTGAGATCTATAAACAAAGAAGGATTGTGATCCCAGGGGACAATACCTAAAATTCCGTTTTAATCTCTTTATCTTCAGTTTTCACAAAACCCCACGGAGACGTACTAATATCTAAGAACTGAGTCATTCTTCAGAAGAAGAATCTAATTTTTACATTTTAAGTATTTTTAAATTTCATATCTATCACATTTTAATCCAGTCAAACAGTGATTAAGTAATTAAAATGTTCACTGAAATAAACTTAAATAAACATGGATGCTTGAAACTAAAAAAAAAAAATAGAAGAGAATATGAAGAGAATAAAATATATCATAATTTCTTTGAAAGTACATCTGAGGGATACATTTATTTAATGTAGAAGCATAAGGTTAAGCAATGTACTATTTAACTCAGGTATGTATTTCTACATAAATTAAACAACTGTTTTTTATTGATCACATCTTATTTGATGAAATGTCTCTTAACTCTGTATATACAGTTGAACAGGAATATTTTTTTTTATCTAAAACAGTTTCTATAGATGCATGGTTACTACACACAGAAGCAAAAAGCTCACCAATCTGACTAAGAGAATCCATGCCAGCTGGGATTATTAGAGGTTTATTGTGGTCTGTTGAGACAACTTTCCTGTAAATGAGGATAGTTTGCAATATTACCGACGCATACAAAACAGTCAAGATGCATCCTTATTACAACACACACTGTGAAAGATCCAGCAGGTTGTTTTCAGGACAGGATTGACAAAAACAATTTGTGATACACACGTATAAAAAGAAATATTATTTTAAAAATGTGCTCACCCTCTTTCTGTTCCAAATGCCAGGTGATTAACAAAACTTCTTGTCCTTGACATCAGACTTTCAGATTTACTGCTAGTAAACTGTAAATGAAGAAAACAGAAGCCACGTTGCTCTCCTCATCCACAGATACATACAGAATACACACCTGTTCTTCTAAAGAAATAAGCAAATAGGAGAATTCACTGGTGGAATAATAAAATATTCCCCAAAAACCTTCTGACATAGGCTAAACCTATGTGCCTAAACATTCTGAAAACAGGGTATATTATAATAATTAAATATATTACTAACATCACTTTGGTTTTAAGACATACATACTGTAGGACTGTTCCTAAATCACATTAAGACCTAGCCAACTAACATATGATATATTTAACATATAACGGCATAAGGGATGTCCTTCTACCTTTGGAGATAAAATTACTTTTTCACCTAGTGCACATGCATATTAGTGACGATACTCAAATGGCTTCTATATTGTTATCTACAGTTATATCTCAGTAAGAAAGATATCACAAGAACGTTTTCTTACGATTAAAGAAGCTCCATAATAATGAGCAACAAATCGTAGACTCTTGCAAATCGTCTTCCTTTTCTCTGAGTCAAAGTCCTTCGCCAGAGAAAAAAAAACATTATACATTATGTCGTCATGCATTGGAATAGTTGTATAGAATCGAAGAATCAAACAGAAAGGAAGTGCATTACCTGAAAAATATCAAACTTGCTGCCTATTATAAGCAGGGGAACTGGAAATGGGTTAATTAACTCTCGATCCTGTTGAAAAATGCAAGAAATTCTTTAGAGATTGCAGAGTTTTTTTTTTTAATGCAGTACAATATTTTTACTACCTATTGTTATTCCATCAAGAAAACTGAAATGTCAATTTCCTCTTTTAAAGTATAATGTATTTGTTACAGTTTTACACCAGCAATAACCTCAGAGCCTGACTCACTGGGTGGTCCTTGGCCAATGTTCGTAGGCCTCTCTTGCTAGGATGCCTGTTGTCCTTGGCGTCTCCAGTCTTCAGCAGCTCTGCACTGACCTTGTCCACGTGATTCCTGGCTGACTGTAGTAGCTGTTCCATTGTCAGCCAGAGTACACTGGCTTTCGACAGGTCTAGCACCAGAACCACTGACAGAGACCTGTATAAAAGAAACAGCACTTTAATTGCTTTCATAGCACTCAGCCAGACAATGACCAAAAGTGAATGCCCTAAGATTACCTAGGCCAGGACACAGCTGTGTGATGGACGGGTCATTCTGATGAATTTTTTACACTGGTTAGCAAAATGTTTATTTTTTTACCTTTTAAACAATAAACAAATGGATTTTGTTAAAATTTTGGAAAATACAGACAGCTCAGAGTAACTTTATTTTTTCTCCTCAAAGTATGTACTTTGATGTCTGTAGCAATTTAGCATTTTAAGATAACTTAAAAGTATGGTAATGCACTGAAATGAGATTATGCAAAAAGTGTTTCTCAAAAGCATTAGATAGGTGAAGCATTTACTATGCAAGACCACAGATTGTTTCCAGTGTGATCTGAACCATATTTCTGTTAAGACCTTGATAAATAATCCAGCATAGCACTTACCTGACAGTGTCTGCTGTTATTGGAATTTGAATGAGATCTGATAGCGAGGTACCACCACCTAACTCCCAAAAGTGAGCAATGTCTTTTGGCTATGAGAAAAAAGCATATTGGTGGACATCAAAAACAATAACTCCACACATTTTTCTATTACCATATATTACATATTATCCACATACACTGAATACGGTCACTGAAATGGTTATGAAACAGAACTACTCTATGTACAAATCATATTAAAATGTGTGTGTCATTTAGATAAATTTCTGCAGCAATCTAGAGGTAATCTGTTTTACATACTGTGTTATGCCCACGGGCTCTCCTTCCAAATGTGTACTCCAAAGCCAGAGTTGGTTTGGGCGGTTCATCCCTATTACAGAGAAATCCAATGTTAATCTCTTCTTGAAGAGTTAAGATATATTTTTAATTGTAAATGTATTATTTTAAAATCAGTACTCACCTGTCAAGACACCTAAGAATAATCGTTGTTTTCCCCTAAAATGCACCAGACAAAAAAAAAGACAAAACAAGCATCTCAATCATATTGTCAGAGGGCTGAGGAACAGTAAATCCTCAAGTGGCCAGCAGAGGGCAGACCTGCTCAATACAAACAGCACTGTACAGCAAATCTGTCAAACGGTCAGCTAAACACACTTCTCCGTGGGAATAAAGTCAAATGTAATACAAATAATTTTCTTTTTTTCTGTCTTTGACAGGTATTTGACATTTCTCAAATTCAACCTTTCTGTTGCCTAAATAAAGTGTTTCTGCCTTTAAAACGTACAGATTCCATAACAGACTTTATCATGATGGTGTTTCAGGCCTTATCAAGCATACACAAGTAAACTCCCTGTACAATATTCATATATATTGTATTATACAGAGTAACAAAAAAAATGTTATTATAGATATAGCCTGGGAGTACATTGAACATTGAGCTGCAGCAGGTTTGCTCTTTATTCCCTGTGAACTGGACAGTCAGCACCAGTATTAATAATTCTTTACACTTATATAGCGCTTTTCTGGACACTCCACTCAAAGCACTTTACAGGTAATGGGGACTCCCCTCCAACACCACCAATGTGCAGCTTCACCTGGACGATGCGACGGCAGCCATCGTGCACCAGAACGCTCACCACACACCAGCTCTCAGCGGGGAGGAGAGCAGAGTGATGGAGCCAGTTCAGAGATGGGGATTATTGGGAGGCCATGATTGCTAAAGGCCAAGGGGAAATTTGGCGATGCTGGCCATAGGATGTATGGTAAGTGAAAAGGGGGCACTACCACAGGTTAATGGCGGAGTACTCACCCCAGCCTTGTTTCCCATGAAGAACAACGCTCTCTCCCCCAGTTCTGTCAGGTCTCCCCCCTCTCCTTCCTCCTCACCCTCTCTGCTCTCTCTGCAGCGCTCCTCTGCCAAAGCCAAATCCCACAGGGTGTCACTGCAACCAAGGAGGGACACAAGAGTGCGGTTCCACAGTTCACAAAGCGCCAGCCGACCCAGCACATGAAAACATAATGGTGAGTCGCGCTGGAATGTGCACTTTCCTAAGGGTCGTTATAATCCGGGTGTGAGGAGGGTTCACCACCTCTTTTATCTTCAATAGAGCATAAAACATCTCCCCACGAACAGGTATTGTATTGTAACTTAATTTAAAAGCCTTTACAAAGAGATTCACTCATTTGTACAGAGTAATGTAAAGGATAATTATTTATACTTAATATATACATATATAAACTCATGGCTACGCTGGAACAGTTGACACAAAATACAGTAAGTCTGAATTCTGGTGTCAGATATTGAAATCCTCAGATTTTAATATTTTCTGGGAATTTTTTCTTGGTCTTCGTTTTTATATAAACCCAAGGTATGGCGAACTTTCGTATATCTTGTGTTTAAAGCACTTCACACCAGATGCAATGCAGTTAACCAAATATATGAACCTCGACTTCATGTGCAAACAAACTTAAAATCCTTTTAGTTCACTGGTAACTAACTAATGCAGTTTATTGCTAAATTAATTTTGTTTTGCTTTAATAGCACATCATTACACGGATTTAAACGCTGGTATACAGTAGAGTTTAGACGGACGACACTGGCATTATTAAGTACTGTTAACAGTACAGTAGCGCTAGAGTATAACTCGAGAAGAGAAAAAGAAAAGTGATTTACCTCGTCTTTGGCATGTTTACAATATTATTTCACACTCGACGCAAACGGTGATTTTTTTTTCAAATCAGCTAAGAAATCAGAAATGTTATCAGCGTTTTAAATCCAGTATTTTGAGAAAGAAGTATAAACGTTGCGATGGGAAACGGCGCAGATTCTCTGACGTAACACATGAGACGTACAGTACGTCTTCTACAGTGCTTGTGGGAATTGTAGTATTCATGTCAAGTTTAATTTTAAAATTGGAAGTCGGTGCAATCGATACAATTGAAGATGTTTACCGTGTGCTCTATTTTCCCGAGGTACTGAAGCCCATATAATTAATATTATATAATTATTAATTAATTATATTGTAGGATCACTAGTATTAACATAAATAAATTGTTCTAAAGGTCAAGGCCATATTCCTGCCAAATGAAGGTAGTCAGTGTGAAAATGCGTGCTGTTAAAAAGAATATAAACAAATAAAAGGGTAACTTGAAGTTAACATGTAAATCTCAATTCCCACAAGCATGCAACAAATTAATACAAAATTTTAGGAAGAACATATTGTTCAAATCCAGAATGGAATTTACTGCAGTTAATACCCCTTGTCTTTAGACAGGTGCTATGGGATTTGGGACCTTTAATGATCGAGTATCATTAATTTAACATCTCATCCGAAGGACAGCACCTCATACAGCAAAGTGTCTACAGTCATCATACTTGAGCATAGGGTTGGAAAGTCAGGTCAACGGGAAGAGTGCTACCTACTGGTCCACCAACACCACTTACAGCAGCAGCCATATTGTCATTAGAGGTTTCTAAACTCAGAGTCTGAGGTCTGTATTTGGTTGCACTTTTACAGACTGATGCTGGTTGTTTATTCAGTCTTGAATTGAGCCCACGTATTTTTTACATGTCCTTTGCTAGTTCTACAGTAATTGCTATTTCTCTTATTTTGGCATTGTCTGAAAGCATCAGTAGTGTACCATCCATCCATTTTCTATATCTTTTTCTTCTGAGTCAATCCTGGCAATTCAACAGGCGAAAGGCCAGGACGTGACACAGCACACTCACCAGCACCAGTTTTCCCAGAGGCCAATAAAGCTCCCAGTATGTGTTTGGACTGTAGGAAGAAATGGGAGCACGCAGAGGAAACCCACATGAACACGGGGAGAACATACAGTACATACATAGATGAAGACAATTTTGTCAAATTCAAAGATCGTTCAATTTCTTTGTACAATGAAACTAGCAAAATAAAGAGAAGCCTATAGTGAGTTTATGTGAAAACCAACACCTAATGCTTACAGATTAAAGGTGTTTTTATTGAACATGTTAAATACAGTACCTCTGTGAAAATCAGAATATGAATTTCCAAAACAAATATTCTGTTATAATATCAAAATAAATATATAAGATCATCAATAAAATATTCATTTTATATAAGCATTCACACGTTTTCTTTTTTAAGATAAATACATAAAAGAAAGTGATAAAGCTAGGTACGAGTCTATCAAGTTATCAAACTCACAATTACCACTTAAATATACTGTTGCATACACCAGAGTGTTTTCAGACTCATAGTTATATCACAGTGCCGTAGGTCAGCTGTAGAAAGGGATGCAGTAGCAGCTGACGTACCACTTGGACCACAACATAGCATTTAATACTTGTAAATGGCCACACTAGAAGTGAATAAGGCAATTTTTGGTTAATTGATAAAAAGAGGTTAGAATTCCATACAGTATTTTCGATGGGGGCAATTAAGCTTTTCATTCGGTATATAAAGGGCATGCACAAGGCTAGGGGTATTCGATGTTTGCTAGCGCTTACTTTGTGTTTGTTGGTGTATGTTGGCAGGCATTACTTCATGTTGCTATTATGCTTTTCAGTGAAAAAGAGAAATATTAGGGTAGAATTTCAATACCAGAGTGCTCCTGGATTTCAGCACTGGCTTGTAACAGTCCCTTACCCTACTAGAATTGTCCCAAAGTCTGCATGCAGAGAAACTCAAAAAATGCCTAAATCCCCTCTACTGTGGCAATTTACACATGTCAGAGGCTGTGTAGCAGCCTGTAGTGGCAAGTCTGCTGCAATTACAACCCTTTCTACAGCTGGTCTGAAACATGCAGACAGCAAGTAATCAAAATACAGAGCCATAACATTTTCTATAGGATAAAGGGACAAAGGCACAAAGTAAGCTTGGAAAACCTAAAAATACAATAAAACTACAAAAAAGTGCCCTAAATTGTCAATAATAAAAAAGCCCCTATTATAGTTTTTAACCAAAAGAACGCAGACCAACTGAGAATACCAGCAGTTAGACAATGGAGAGAAGGGTGGGGGAAATAACTATACAGAGTTATTTTCCAGTTTCCGGGTCATTACTGTCATTATGGGTCATTACAGCTGTTTTACAGCAGAGTAACAGCAAGCTCAAAATTTCTTCTTCACATATATTCTACTACATCCAGTATTTTAATCAAATGTGCATTATTATTTTTACATCTATTATTACATCTATACAGGTAAATTTGGAACAGGCAAGTGTTAACACTGCTCACAACAGTTAACTGTGTTCTCAGTTTTTCTCATTGTGAATCCTTTGGCTCAACTCCATTTACACTGAAAACTGTTTTCACTGAAACACACTGAAACACTGAAACTGTTTGGGAGAAGCAGCACCTTTCACCTCTTTTAGCTTCATCTCCTGTGCAGGACCTATAAAAAAATAACATTTAGCACTGGATTGTACCATTGTTAATAAAATAATAGTTTAAAAATAAGCAATTACAAAAGTATTATCCTGTGCATGGTAGAACGCTGGCTGAGACATTTTCTCAGATTTTACTTTTTTGTTTAAATCTGGTCAGTGTAACCAAATTAAATAAAAATAGTAGTGTTGGGTGGCTATGGCTGAGGGAAAGATTGTGTGGCTTCTGTGCTGCTCCACCAGTGTGTGTGAAGGCTTCTGCAGAGCTGCTCCCAATCCCATCAGCGAACAGCAGTGGGTGTGTCACAGAAGAGTGGGGCCCTTGCTGGGTCTGCTGGAGGTGAGCTGGGGTTGGCTGCCCAGCTCTTTGTTCCTGAGTCCAATTGGCTGAGCGGAGAGAAGGGCGGGAGCAGAGAGGTGGTGGGCAGCGGTTTTCTGTTGATGGACACTGTTGATGTAGTTGGCAATGAGCAGAGTCATCTCAAGGATCTGAGAACACAAAACAACACGTTCAGGGATCACAATACAGCAACTTGCAGGGCTCAGGGTGCTTCCCCTGGAGGCAATTAAGCATCAGTTCAACTCTGTGAAATCAAAATCATGCTATAAGATCATAGGCTTACATGCAATTCTCCATCTGGAGTGTATGCTAGAGCCGCAGATCATCTGCAGAGCTCCATGAAATACGGATTTTCCACATTTGTATTGAATATGACAAATTTAAAGATGGCTGATGCATCTGATATTTAAGAGTTAGTTTGGTTTTAATCGGAGCTATGCGGTTGTGTACACAGAATTGTGCTTTGATTGACACGACAAGCTACTGTATATTCCCCCAGTTTGACTTGACTGACCTTGGGTTTATCCATGGCGAAGAGATGCTTTTCGGTGGGTTTGTCCTTGGCAGGGCTGTTCCCAATGCTCTGGCCCACCACCAACATGAAGTCATCTTTGCAGCCCCCAAAGGTCATCAGATTTCTGTGCATATAGGAGACCAGCAGCCTCTGGATAAAGCAGAGACAAGAGCACATCAGCTGTGCAGAGAGACTTCTGGGATATTCTGAACAACATCCTTAGAATTTATTTAATTACAGTGGGTTCAGGCTTTCCAGAAGTGTTTCTTTGGTGTGCCCTGGTATGACTATGTACAGTATGTCCTTAAGAGTGCAATGAAGCAGTAGTAAGTCCCAAACAAGCATAGATACAGGTATCTGAAAGGATGATTTACACAGGGCCCAAGCCTAAACATACATCACAAATAATGTACACATTTTGGCACATTTTTTACCATTTGTGAGCAATCAAAAACTATTTGTGGTATTTTGTCAGATTTGATGTACAGCAACTCAAGTGCAACACTGTTTCTCAGTATTTGTGCAGAGCCTCCTACCATGGAGCTGTATTCCAGCACGCTGATCCCATCTTCATGCACTGCCAGCCACGCAGGAGCATCCTGGACTGGGGAGGGAGTGATGGGCTACAGAAAGACAGGCTGTGCATCAGTGATGAATCAGAATTGCAGATTATAATGACCTCTTCTGGTTGAGCTATGGTGTGTCTAATTTCTAACAGCTTGATCGGCACAGTCTGAGGTGGTTCCTGAGATGTTAGGAGGAAATCTAACCATCTCAGGTGTTTATCTCAGTGGTAACCTGCACCCCAACAGGACAGAAGAAAAGCAGGGTTTTTTGATGTGACTGGGAAGTGAACTCTTCCAAGCCCACCTTGGCTGCAAACAGCTTGGCTCCAAAGAAGGGCCACTTCCTCGCCACAGTCAGGTAGATACGGATGCAGTCAGCAGAGCTACGGCCCCTCAGAGACCCCCATCTAGCTGAAAGACACTGCCGCAACTGTCTAGAGAGAAAAACAGAGGTTATTAAACACGAGCTACCCGAGTGTAACAGTTGCCACTAGAAAGAGACAGAAGGAAAAGAAGGCCCTCATTCACAGCATAAAGAGATTTGATCCACATTCTCATAAACAGGCTCTGCAGGTCAGGTTCCAGATCTACCCCAGCCTATTTTTGCAATTTCAGAAAAGCTAAAATTTGGATATCTTTCTTTTAAAACGTTTCAAGCAAAGAAAGTACAGTGAAGTCATGATAAAGGCTTGTTTGCTCAAGGGCCCAACGGAGTAGGATTCCTCTGCAAGCTGCGGGATTTGAACCAGCACCTTCCAGCCACAGGCGCAGATCCTTAGCCACATGAGGTGCTCCTGCTTTTTACCTCAGCTGTTCCTCAGAGCCGCCCTGCCGATAATGTTTGGGGTAGAATCTCTCCAGGACCTGTTTCAGAGTCTGGTTGGACTTGGATTGAGTCAAGACCTGTCCCGGTGGGGTTGAGGATGGCTGCTCAAAGTCTCCAAACTCCACCTAAGCGAAGAGAAGAAGGAAGGCAGCACTTTCCACCATTTAATAAAGCTTCGAAAGTGAAAGAACTCACCCACAGCTTCAAAAACACGCCCGCAAATATGAACAGTAAACGAAAGAAACAGAATACAGTACCAAAAATATTTTAAAAACAGTATCAACACATTGAGGCAAAACAACAAGGAAAGCCGCTGATGAACAGCCTAATGATAAGGTTAACATAAAGTAGAAAACAACCACACAAACACCGTGGCTGCTGGGGCGTACTATTTTCTTTAAAAAAAGAAAGACTTAAAAAAGACGGTTTCCTCCCAGGAGCCCCGAAGGGTGTGATAGCTAAGACTGGCCAAGTTAGCCGGTACCTGCGCCAGCAGGGCTGCCATTTCCAGAGCCAGTTCCTTGTTGACGGGGAACTGCCCGCCCACAATCTCCTCGTTAGTCTGGTAGGCCAAGAGCAGCCTCTCGCGCTCTGTCTCCCCTCGGGCCTGCAGGGAGAAGTACAGCCTGGGGGACAGGACAATAATAATAATATTTCTTTATTAGCCCTATACAATTTCTTGCATTAGGAATGCGTCTTTTTGCATACCCCAGCTTTTCTCCATGGAGACACAGACACAGACACAGGGAGAGAAGCTTGGGGTCAGAGCTCAGGGTCTGCCATTGTATGGTGCCCCTGGAGCAGTTGGAGCCTTGCTCAGGGGCCCAACAGAGTAGGATTCCAGCCGCAGGATTTGAACCGGCAACCTTCCAGTCACAGGCGCAGATCCTTAGCCACAGAGCCACCGCTCCGCCCCGGTCACCACGGGGATGCTGGGAGCAGCTTCGGCACACCTGCTGTACAGGAGCTTTCATTCAAAACCCTAGATCCTTAGTCGGGGAATTCCCCATCTCTAGGACTCTATCTCTGGTGCGATAGGCCTCAGAATTGGAACAGAAAGGAAAAACTGTTGTGTTCCTGTCACTTTTTTTCCCCAAAGTCGGTTTTGACTTCGAATTAGATTTAGAATTTATGGTACAGCTACTGGTGCACTTTCAAAAATGCTTTAAAAGACTTTCTCATTGGCCTTATGTTGCCACCTTTGTTGTTAAATGTGCTTATTTTGTTGTTTGTTTTGTACATCTCCTTTAAACCATTTAAAGTCCTTTAAAGTCCAGAATGGCCGATTTGGATCACTGACAAGGCTGAAACTGTGTAGTTTAGACTGTGTCTAGACCTCTTCTATTATTTCTAAGTCTAGTTGCCAATGTACTGTCTATGTGCTAGAGAGTGACGACTGGACATTTGTGTGAGTTGTTTTAACAGAACAGCCACAGGATGGTGTCTTGGTGAAACCTGACCTCTTTTTATAGGTGAGCTTCACAGTCCTTGCATTCTCTGACTTCCCTGGGTGCTGCTCTTTGGATGCCTGCTCCCATTTGGAAATGATATCACAGATCTGCGGGGAGCAACATCATACACACACCTCAATAATAACAGCAAAGCAGAAGCATGTCTTCTGTAATCTTAAACATTGACAATATGCGTGTCATTTTTCCACTGAGATGTATTACATATAGTAGATAGAGCAATTTTACAAGGAATTTTGTCATTTTTCTACATACTGTAAAGCATATTCAAGAAAAATACATTCATTCAATTTCTGGCAATTTTCTAACAACCCTTTATCCATTAGACTTATAAAGTCTTGTGGGTATGATGCATATACCATGCAGACAAAAACAATGCTCCATTTTTCAATGGCATGTTTGTGCCCATGGAATAAATATCAGGTACCTAATTTGATACACAAGCCTAAACTAAAATGTACACACCAGTGGTCTTCATGGGGCCTTTGGGTTCTGAACACCTGATACCTTTTTAAAAGGAATTTAAGATACTAGTGTCAGATGTGGCAATTTCTTCAAAGGGATTTGGACATAATTTAACAGACGGCCATATATCAGCATTATGCAGACACACAGAGCTTTTCTCTCCTGTTGCTTGTTGCTCTCACAATGCTTTACTCCTAGCAGCACGCCCTGTCAACAATCTGTATCCAGGGGAAACAGCAGTTAGATGTTCATAAAATGCTGTGTAGTCACAGTTGCATAAGTGGTTATATTAATATTATTCAGCTCTGCAAAGTTGGTTAGTTCTTTCAGTTGTAATAACAGAAAAAGCAACATAAATATATATATTTACTTAAGGCATGGAGCTAAAGTTATGTAAGTGGAATGTTTTTGTTGTGTTTCATTCTAACATGTTTTACTTCTGTTTTTGGAGATTCTAGATCAGATCAGGTTTTGTTATTTCGGACCTGGGAAGACGTCTAGGACAGGTGAGTTAGTGTCTGCTCCATTTTGGGCATCATGTTGCATACCTACAGTATATCCCCTTTCTCTCAGGGTTGATGATTTTAGATGACAGGACTGGGAGACCTGTACTGGGAGTTTCAGAAGCAAAGGAGTTGTGCCTGGCACTGACCTTGATGTTGCCTTGCAGGCTGTGCTCCAGATCTTTCCCCGAGGGATCGTCAGTATACAGGGCGAATCCTGACTGCGTCGGCTTCCTCATTCCCGTGTCCTGGTTCAGCTGAGCCAGGAACTCATCTACCATGGTTGAGGCATCAAAGCCTACTACCTGGAACATCCCAGAACCCCACAGTTACTACAGAAACCTTTGACACACAGGTCTGGTGCTTTAAGAACCAACATTGGCATCAGTACTTTATCCCATGTCTTGATAAGAACTCATCCATCCCTATGCCTGTTTTCAGTGAATTGTTTCCGGTGAGGGACATTGCAAGCTAGAACCTATCCTTCAAGCTCAGGGTGCATGGCAGAGCTGGCTGTTTTCTCCCATTGCTGGGATTCCATTTCAGGGCCATAGAAAAGTATGTGATTTAAGAATAGCCAAACAAACCTCTGGGAGGTGGGAGAAAACCAGCAAAATCCAAGGTGCCCAAGGCCTTAATCGAACCAGGGTCCAGCAGTCATCACAATATTAAATACCAAACCAACTTGCTACCTCACCGTGCAAACAGTAGGACACAGGAAAACCAGCCCTCTCCAAACTGAAGCCCACAGAACACACTCAACACTGGACTCTGAAACACTGCAAAATGCATTCTCCCCATTTGTGTTTGATTTTCATGTATACGGTTGTGCACATGTAGCTGCGTGCAGGGTACCTGGTAGGTGCCATTCAGAAAGTGCACGGGGATGCTAAAGGGAAGGGAATGGTGGTAAGGGTTTCTCAGCAGGATAGACAGGATCTCCATTCGGGATGGCCGGACTTCCCGCTGCCCTTTCTGCTGTGTGCGCTCCACACTGCGCTGACAGTAGATGGCGTACTTCCCGATCTCAGTCCTGAAACCACACAGTGTAGCACCAGTCACCAGGTTTATTATTAATCTTGAACTGGACTACACACACCGTGGTTGCACAGGAAATGCACATACCCAGTTTGGTCAAAGCATTCCTCACCTAGAGTCACTGTACTTCTTCAGGTGGAGCTGCAGGAGCCAGAAGAAGGGATGTTGAGGGAGGAAGAGGCCAACACATAGAGCCAGGAGCTGCCAGCCCTGCACACAAACAGACCTTCAGTGTCAAGAGTTAATCCTCAATCTCATCAACTCGCTAGAAACTTATACTGGTGCGGCAAATATTCCTCAACACAGCCTTTGATAGCACTTGGTGAAAATTTGCTTATGGATACATATGGATCAGCAAACTGACATGCTTCCTACGTCTACAATTCTGAGGTCTAAAAAGATCTTTGTCTGCCAGGGAGCAGTATAGGGTTGTCCATTGTGACCTGCAGTGGCCCTGCCTGGCCCTGGGGCTGCCTCCTCCTAGTCTGTTTCACCAATTGGCAGTAGATCTCATTCTGCAGCTCAGGGTGCATCAGGCACATCTGAAGGGCACTCTGGGCCAAAGACACATGATAATCAATGGCCGGGGCATCGATTGCAACATTGATGAACAGCTGGCAAGTCTGCAGTAGAAACACAGGAGAAACCAGTGAGGTTAGAACTATAAGACAACTAAAACACAGCCATACACGTCAAGAGTGAGTGCTCCACACCCTCAGTCCTAACCGTTGTCATAATAATATCATTACAAATCTTGACCATGGGTACATTTTTCCATCTCACTTTATCAAGCAGAGGAGTTTAATGAGGGGCAATAGGAAAAGCTGTAGGCCTGTATATACAGTACACAATAACATATTTTTACACTCAATAATTATCAGCATTTAAAATAACTGTTTTATTCAGTGGCCAGTTTTGCTTCATTAATGGATTTGCACTACTATAGACTGTAGTACGCTGTTTTGATAAGTGGACCCATATTATAAAAATTACCTTGAAAAGCTTGATGGCCTCCGTCTGCAGTGCCTCAGAGGGCAGGGTTGTGAGGGGTGAGGGGATACCATCCTTGCTAAAACACAAGGTAGGGTGTCTCCACATCTGAGAGCCTGCACCAGGGAGAGGATATACAGAAAACTACACATTCAATATAACATCTTCTATAGAACACTGCACTGCATTAGAAGCCTTTGCCAGGAAGAAAAATAATTGTACAGAAAAGGCTGGGGCTGGGTAGCAAAGATACATAGTAACTATCTTAAATTTCAGTATTTGAACTCACTTGGATCTCCCTCCATGTTAAGCAGTTTTCCCACCAGCTGCTCAAACTCAGTGCCTACATCATTCACAGTGCTGCCAGCAGCCACAGTCAAGTGATACAGCCAGGTATCCTGCAGTTAACACAGATCAGAAGACAAGAGCTAATTCCAGCATCAAGAACTCTTGCTGGGCTTCCGAGACACAAATCCATTACAGACCAGCTCCACTGCGTTGTGCACAGGTAACAAATGTGTGGAATGAACCTGGTAAATGACACCTTCTTCGCTATGATCACCTCATCTATGTGCCATGAACCTTCATAGGATGAGGCAGCTACAGTATGCGTAATTGATGGTTGCTTAATATCACTGGTTATCTGCTGGGATATACTGAGGTGCACTGTGAGAGCAACCAGCAAACAGACATTTTTTTCTACTTTGTAAAATGCATGATCAGGTGAAAATCTGATAATTGTAGTAGAATTGCCATTTGAATTTAATTCCTGACATTTTCAAGCAAACATAGAGGTCTTACAACAGCAGGGATTCAAAGGTCCTGATTTGCACAACTCTGCATTAATCTACAGACAGATCCTGGGAATGACCTCAGATGTGAGGAACACCAGCAGCAGCTCTGTGCAGCAACGTATCCACAAGTCCAGCCCAGGCAGACCTTCTCACCTTTTCATGCTGGGAGCCGATGAGCAGGTACGTGGGCCCCTGGTCCTTGGGCTGCACAGCGATGGTGTAGTGAGTGGACAACAGGCTTCGGCCACTGGCCTCGTAATCCTCATCTGAGTCACGTGAGCGGTCCACTTCCTCCACACGAGCCTCCCACAGCCTGATCTGCCCCAGGGGGAACTGAGAGGAGAGCACTAACCTTGATTAGCCATGCCTCATCTCAGCTTGGGGTTTTGTAACCTCCTGCCCATACTGGTGCCATTCATTCACAATGAGGTTTGACTAGTGCCGCCCATCTAAGATTTATTTGACCTTGAAGATCAAATGTTAGTTTGTTTTTTTTTCCACGGATGTTACATGACACCAAATAGTTTCCACTAAATGTAATAAAACTAACCTCTAGAGGTAATGTGAGTCACATTCATATGTCTCCGTGGTGGGATTACATATTTACAATGTGTTTAAATTGATACAGAACTTTATTTGTATTGATCTATAATGTACCTTGTCCTCTTGGCTGCGGAAGTAGTAAAGAGTTTTTCCAATAAGCGCACACCAAACACGCTTAGAGTATCCATGTTTCACCTGGGAAGACAGAGGAGAAATTTTAGAAACATGAAGAAACTGTTTGAATGCCTTTGGAAGGTGAAATGTGGCAGTGAAGCCACCTGTGTGAACACCACTGTGCTGCTCTCAATAGGAGTTAATCAATTAAATCAACTAAAACTGCAGCCCCAGATTTCTCAACATTTAAATGGCTCCTCTGAACAGATCTGCACTACTGATGTTTAGACAGTCACAAATGGAGCACTCAGGTCAGATATTAAGTCATTTCATGGATGTGTTAAGGGCTTTGGTTGAGATCAAGGGCATTAAGTCCCAGATCGTCCAAAAAGTTTGAATTTTGGTTATGAATCCAATTACTTTCTCCTTGAGCTATCAGCTAATAAGTGCCTGATATTGGATTAGACCTGCTACCTTGGTCAGCAGGCCCTTCATGCCTGGCCGGTGCTCAGGGTGGGTGAAGAGAGGGCTGGCAGCCTGGACACGGAGGACATTCTGCAGCACCCTGATCCACTCCTCCAGGATATTTGGGGAATCAGCAGTCAGGTAATACACACGCTTCTCTGTGATGATCTACACAGGACAAAGGAGACCAGTTTTACATTCCCAGTGGCACACATGGAGAGAGCAGCACACCTCCCAGTCTCTACAAAATCAGTATTGATTGTATCTATGCATGTATCTCTGCATGTTCAGCTATTACAAATTAAAATCCTTTTCCTAGGTGATTCATAGCTTCATCTTACTAATGACATAAGTGCACCTTAAACAATCCCTTGTACCTGAATGGTCTGTTTGCTGTCTCCACGGACGATGCTGCTAGAGGCACTGAGCTCGACCTGCCCCTGGGGCTTCCTGATCACATCACTCTGGGGGCAGAGGAACATATTAGCTTGATACACCCCTGACCGCATGGCTCTAAGTGCTGAGATACGTATTAGTATGTGACCGTAATGTTAGCATTGCCAGAGTCTCACAACAATACACTGTTAATAGCAGAGAATGGAAAGACAACAAAGAAAGACAACAAGCTGGTCTTTGTGAACACTGCAACACACATCTATCACATGCATTCACACCCGGTCTATCTTTGTGGTGTCAGAAAATCAAGTTGCTACAGTTTCTTGGGTTTGTCTGAAAAGTCACACTTACTGTACCAGATTAAGGATTCTGCAGTGAAATAAATTTCTGAGTTGATTCAATTAAGATTATTTGTACAAATGAATGCTAAAACCAGAAAACCCTATTAGTTTGCATCTTGCAATCAGTTTATTTTTTATGGCTAAGGAAGTCAAGATAAAACTAAAGACCATTCTCCAGAACGAAGCAGGCAGGGCTGCAATTTTTAAAATAGCTGTCTTTGTCACTAGTTTTAGTGTAATGGAAGCCGAAGTAAAACGCTGACTCACTCTCACTAGCAACCTGAATTCTTTGATAACAAAACTACAATTGTGCACTTCTTGCATTGCTTCATTCCATTACAGAAATCCTCGGCATGAACATTATTTTTTCAATTATTTATAAATGTTTTTCCAATGCCATCTTCCCTGGACTTACATTCCCTTACACATTCTTAACAGTTCTTGTCAAAGACAGCTATCAAACCCTTCAAAAACATATTCTGGAGGAAAAACAGGTCACGTATCTTGGTGCTTAGTATTGTTCACATTATGGAGAAAAAGCTTGGTGAGTTGTCATTCAACATTGAGATTATACTGGCAGTGTAAGGTTATATAAAAAACAGGAAGGTGATCTGGAATCTAGCCAGAGATCAGGTGAGGGCAGATGGGTAACAGTGCTCAAGACCTGGCTAAGACCAAGAGGCTAAGATATAAAGGAGCTGGGCTCTGAAGTGGTTCAACCTGTAAAAGTGTTGGCCCAGAAGGTAGATTGATCAAGAAAGCACCAGTTAAAATCCTGGGCAATGCCATATGCTGACCTGGATTGTTCCAACAGGAGCATGCATTTCACTTAGTATCACCAGGCTCATGCAGTCATGCAATTAGGGCTTTTTTAGTGTACTTTATTGTGTAAGATCAACCACTGCAATGTGTCAAGTACCAGAAAGAGCATACACTGTTTCAGTGAGAGCTGCATCGCTCCTCCAATTGGTGAAAACCCTACTGTATGGCATAGCAGAGTTTGTAGCACATCATACAACAAATAGAAAATTATTTAAATTAAGAGGTGATTTCAAATCTGTAACAAAAGGAACTGTTTGGAATAAAGAGGAGCAATCCTTACTGGGGACTTGTAGTAGAACAGCTCCCCACCCTTCAGCACAAACCAGCGTCTCTTCCAGGTCTTTACTTTGCCACCCATCTTAAGCAAGTAGCCAGATTTTTCTAAAGGTTCCTGAAACAAAACAAAAGTCTTGTTTATGTAAGCTGTAAAACAAGTTAATAAGTGGTTGGATAACAGTAAATGGATCTTGGACCATAAGGCTACTGCGTTCTAGATGAACAAGACTGGTCAAACAAACTGCTCCTTCCTGTAGCTTTCCAAAAACAAGAAAAAAGATACAACTTCATTACTTTTATGGAAACCTGTATTCTTGGATCTCAGGCATCTGTAACGTGGGACTCACGTTCTTGCCGTTGTCGCTGGTGGAGGAGCAGGTTTTGGGCAGTTTCTGCTCAGGCTCAGAACAATCCGTGTCGGTGGAGTAGGCATCAGGTGGGATGGCATAGTCACTCTCCGAGGTCATCGATGACATGGACACGCCTGTAAGCACAGAACAGAGAAACAGGAAGAGCTCATGAGCAAAGGCCACAGGCCACACACAACATTCAACACTTATATAACCAAATTGATCAAATCAGTGTCAGGGATCTCCCACCCTGGTTTGCAAGAGCCTCAGTTGAACATTTACATTGTGATCAGTTAAACAGGTGATTTGTTAAATTAAGAAATGTAGAGATTATGTAGGACTAAAATCTAAATACCCTTCATCCTTCAAGGATCAGCATGCTTGATTCATGAAAGTCTTTCAACACAGGTGACCTGAGAAAGGAGCTGGACTATGGCTCTCCAGGGCCAGGGACAGAGACCCCTGGTCTCTGTCTACCACCACTAGCAATGGCATAGCTGCTGACCTCTCTTGAGAGCACGGGGGCTTCCAGGACTGCTGCCCTTTCGGGAGCCCGAGCCAGAGGTCCGGGAGCTGTACAGGGAGCTCTCTTCCTCTTCGGAACATGATGACTCGTCACAGAATGGGCTGCTGCTCAGCTGGGTTGCTTTCTGAAGAACAAAACCCAAGAAGCCACACATGAACAAGCTGATATGGTCACGTGCATCACCAGGCTTACTCCAGGTGTCTATGAGTAGAAAGAATTGGGCAAATAATTAACCATTCATTTTGATTTTAAGTACTGTATAAGTGCCTTCTGTATAATAAAATATATATCATATTAAGTACCTCTAAAAATGCTAATAATACTATGCCATAAATTTGTATGTAAACTACGCATATGGTTGGAATTTACAGGCTATATTTCCAGTCCCACACAGCCAATGTTCAGCTGATTTAGTGCAATGTTTATTAGGCCTATACAGCACTTGCCCCCAAGTGAAAGGGATACATGTGATAGGTAACAGAGGAAAGGACTGTTAGAGTTCCTAAAGTTACATCTTAGGGCGAGCATGTGTGTGCAGTCTGTAGAGAGACAATACTGAGAGGCATAGCTGGACTTACCCCCTTTAGCGTTGTGTAGACAGGGGTAGTCATGTTCTTGTAGATGAGGGAGGTGTACAATGCTGATGCAGAGTACGATGACACAGGACTGGAGTCTGGAACATCAGAATTTTTAAAACCTCCAAAACTACACAGGGACCACTGCTTTGATATTAGAATATAAAATGTCAATACTGTACAATGTGGATCATACTGCACACTTACAGGTGTGATGCAGTGCAAGGGTAAATCAATTACGTTGAAAGGGCAATTTAAAAAGATTTTATTTTTTAAATTCATTTCAGTGGTGGCTAAAACGTTTTAAAAAAATCTTTGTTCTCTATGTGAGAGAATGAAAGGATACTCCCTCAAGGTCACATATCCTGCAACACTGGGAATGACTTACTTTTGCTGGCAAGGTCAGTGCATGAGGTTTCAGACAGTCTGATCCCTGACTTGGCAACAGCATAAATCCTGCTTTCCTGAATAAAAACAGTGAAGTAACTGGGAGTAAATACACAAGGACCACTCACAGAAAACTCATAAAACCAGTTCAACATGGATACGAAAAGGAAACAACTCCCCGCCTGTGTATGCACTCCCAACCCATGGAAGAGCCATTAACATCTGTGTTGAAAGGCTTGTTTTCTCACTCTTTATTTTATGCTCCTTATTGGCTTTTTGAGAAGTCTGTGTACTTTTTTGTCCTTTCCATGTTATTTATAGTTTACATTATTTTATCCTTCGAATGTCTTACAGTGTTATGAAATTGATTTTTCCCTCTCTCTCTGTGACCCCAGAGGGAAACGCTCACCCAGGAAGGAAATCTGTGCAGGGGGGGCGTTGGCGGCTTGCTGCCTGGTGCCCTTCCAGGGGACTCAAGCTCCTCGACACTGGTGGACCTGTCTGAAAAGACGCCCTCACCGCAGCCTGTCTCCATGTCTTGCTCCTGATCCAGGTCCGTCTCCTGTGTCCGGAGAGGACGCACCATGCTGATTGCGTTGCGGCTGCGACCGTAGAGGTGCTCCGAGCTGAACTGTGGTTGACTCAGGTGTTTCTTGGCCAGGGCCACGCTGATGTTGAACACATTGGGGGTCCGGAGCTTGGGTGGGGGCAGCTTGGCCTGGGTGCTGCCAGGGGATTTTGGGAGAGAGAGGGAGCTGCTGTCCAGGGTGGGGGTGGGGTGTTTGGGGGTGAGGGCAGGTGTGAGGATAGGGCTAGGGGTGTTGGTCTCACTGGAAGAGGAAGAAGAATCGAGGCGCTGAGACTGGAACCTCTTGTTGAGCTCGTCTGAGGAGCTGTCCCCCTCTCCCCCCGCCTTCTCTCCTACCCCCCTGTCTGTGGCCCTCTCCGCCTCTTGCAGGCAGGGCCGCAGAGGGTCTGTGCGCTGCATGTCATCGTCAAACAGGGAGCTGCTGTCATCAGAGGCAGTGAGGTAGGCCTCGCTTCCCGCGCGGCTGAAGCGCAGCCCGTCTCTGCTGCCACCGTCAGACGCCACGCTGGAAAACGCAGAGGAGACGCAGCGAGACTCAGCGCCCCCCCGGCCGCCCCCTTCCCCTTCTTCCTCCTCAGAGCTGCCATTACCCAGAGTTCCCTGTTGAGAGGAGTTTCCCTCTCCCCTCTGGCCGGCACCACTGGCTTTCTCTGACCCTCTGCTGCCCTGGGCGGCCTGGAGTGACCTCTGAGCCCTGCAGTCCTCTTCATCCGATGTTAAGACGGAGTTTTGTTTTGCATTGTTCTCTTAAAAACAGCAAAAAGAAAAAAATAATAGTTGCACTGACACCTACATACTTTGAAAGGTATCTGAGTGATCATTCCAGCGCTGTCCTAATTTGTTGAATTATAAATGATGAAAACAAATTTTTGAAAGTAAATATTTTTCATTTGACAAAGCACGACATGGTAAAACTAGTGAAAGAAATAAAATGTCAGCATAATTGATGATTGCACAAGTACCCACTCTCTTGAATCACTACTTGGTGGAAGCACCTTTGGCAGCAATTGGCAGCTGTTCTTTTAGTTAATTCTACAATTGTGCAGGCTACAGTGAATGTTCCCTGTTTTTCTTTGCAGAGAGCAATTTTCAAGTCTTGCCAAAAATTTCTATTAGATTTAATTCAAGATTCAATGACATTTGCTTGTTAACTGCTTTGGGTCACAGGTCACATAATTAGTTGAGTTAGTTGTTTGGAAACCTCCTTGGTCTTCATGGATGAATCTTTGCTCGAAATTCTCTACCTGACTGAGGGGACACAGACAGGCGTGTTTATTCTGACATCATGTGAACCACTAAGTCTGCACAGACAGAGACCATTCACCTTTGAAGGCCACATGTGACTTCAAAGTCGTTTTGTGCACTTTAATTTAGGTTTACCATAGCAAAGGGGATGGATACTTATCCAATCAACATATTTTTGTTTTCAATTATTTTCACATTTGTAACTTCTTTATACAAACACATGCAAGTACACTTCCCTTTTACACCCAGGTTCTCACCTGCTCCTACTCGCTCTTCTTTGCCAGCACTGCCCTCCTGCCTGCTGGTGACGGCCCGGTGGCCTGGTTCTGGCCTGGTCTGGACCTGTGGGCTCTTGGCTCGAACCTGGAAGCAGCCAAAGGTCAGGCTGCTGAGGCGCTGGGCCTCCCCAGGTTTCGGAGCCGAGCTGCACTGCTTCTGCTCAGTGGCTGCAACAGGACAGGACAGAAAAAGGTGGACAACATCAAAGCACAAAAAACTCACAACGAGGATTACTCAGTCAAAGTATAAACATAGTATAATATAGAAAAGCATGCTGGAGTACTGTTAAATCTAGGTAAACATGTGGTCAATACCATGCATAGTACAAATTATAGCAGATTGTAAAATTTTGAAAATAACACTTGTCACTTGTCACTGGGTTGAATTCAGACAATCGTGAGAGCTGTCTCCTTACCCTGCATTTGCTTCTGCAATTCCTGGATCTGTGTGCTCTGTTGCTGTGTGGTGGTTCGCAGACTCTTGTTCTCAATCTCCAGCTGAGGGGGGAGACCAAAAATACACAAACAAGAACAGAAGCACTTTTTTAAGCTCCTTTAGCACAGATGGATGGGTTGTCACATTTCATATGTGTTGAAGCCAATTGCTTTCGCATACCAACTCAGTAAGTGTACCACTAGACTATATTCCTACTATACCTCATGCAGCTTTACTGTCACCCATTCTTTGATCTTGGCAGCTTTCTCTTCCACAATCTTGGCCTCTTGGAGTCTCATTTTCTTCTAGAACAGACCAGAACAAACTCAGTCTTAGACAGACAACAGAAGCCACTTTGAATTCCCTAAGAATCATCAGCTCTGTCTTTTCCATTTTTATTGCTAGAAGGTCTGTTTCCCTTCTGAGACCAGCAGGCCTCCTGATGATGTGGCCCATGTACTGTACCTGCTCCTCCAGCTGTTGCTCCAGCTGCTGGATGATGTCATCCTTCTCCTGAACCAGTGTCTGCAGGTCCTGGCAGCTCCGGTAGAGACGGTTCTCTGACTCGCTGGTCTGCACGTCTGCTGCCTTCAGCTTCTCCTCCATCACCTGGACCTGAGCATAGTCACACACACTGTAGGCAAGGGTGCTCTGACTGTGTTTCTTCACGGCATACAGAACGTACAAAATTATGAGTCCCCTGACTAGCTCTGTTGGTAGAGCATGAGACTCATAATCTCAGGGTAGTGGGTTTGAGTCCCAAATTGGGCGCAAGGTTCTCTAATAACCCACACTGGGCAGCAGCAGTATGGGGGGGCTGTGTTGGCTGTATCTGTGCAGAAGAAATACCTGGCAGTCTACTTCCGTATCTTGCCATAAAAACGCTATGGATAGCTACGGTGGAACTGTCCATAGGTTCGTCATGAGCCGATACCAAGTTGACGGCACTCAACCACCACCACCACAGAATTATTAACAATGCCTTCATAATAAAACAAACCAGTTTTGCAGTAATGGCAGGACGTGCCTCTTCTACTGTATGTCCAGACAAGTATCCTCTGGGCGACCAGCCCTCCTGTCCTCAGTACAACCTACCTGCTGGTGAGCCTTCTCTGCTCGACGTTCTGCTTCCAGCACCTGCCTCTCCAGCTGCTGCATCTGAGGGGAGAGAGATCAGTTATTTGTTTGTTTTTATGATTGGAAGCTAGAGATTTCACTGCCCTCTAGGCCATCTTAATACTAAAATAAGGATATAAATACTATATCTACTACAGCACTTCATTGCAGAGCTAAATATCTGCTGCCTTGGCCTGGTTACCTAAATTCCTGTTTTATTATCACCCCGTGCATTTTTGCAACATTTTCACATTACACCCTAGGGTGCATTCAAACACCACATAAAACTGGGATTAGGTGGAGAATTAATCATCCTGTTTTTAGAGCTTTGTATAATACAGCAGTAGCTGTCCTCAAAAGCCGATGAGATATTAAACTTTAACAATCTTCCATAAATTCTGTCAGTGTCTGTGATCAGTGGGCTCAACAAAGATGACAGATCCACTGCAACTTAGTGGGCAGGAGCCTTGTTATGAAAACAGAGCCCTTGTGTGGGAGTGAAAATAGCACTTTACGAGCAAAGATTCCTTATAAATTCCACAGTTAAGAAAGGAGAAAGTTCAAGAGGATGTAGACAGTTTCCAAACCCAATATACAGTATGTGAAAACATTAGCTGTAGACAAGACAGCATCTTAATTAGTGTCCCGTCACAGTGCATGTGAATAACCAAGTGAAGAGCATGCAGCTTGTTCTAGGGTGCAAAATTCAAAACTGATTTGCCTGGGCAACGTTCCACCTTTCCATAGCACAACTGAGACTCAGATGTATGCCTAACACATGTTGTCATATCCTTTGCCCCATCAGAAACTTTTTGAAGGTTATTTTTAGTATTTTATTTTTATTTTTATTTAGGTAAAAGCAAACTCTCCAGTACGAACTGCGATTATGATGCAATCAGTAACTTGTGAGAAAGCACTGACCACTCTTACAAATGTACTGTATTTTTGGGAGCATAGTTCATAATTCATAGTACGTAGTTCAGTAGCTCTAACAAAGCACTAACCACAAGGAATCACTGATATTTTAGCTACAGGTTGTGTAAAAGGATCCATCGCCACATACAGTATACCTGGCACGTGTCGTATCAGTACATACCAGGCACAGCAGACCTCAGATCCTGGCTTCTACTGAACAGCTAATGAAAACCCTATTGCTGTAGCTTGGCCAGGAGGTGAAGAATTTGATTTGTTGAAATAAGAGCAGCGCAAGGTTTATTGTAAGAGGTACCAAGCCACATTCATTTGAACTGACTGATGGCAGCTGGCTAATACCTTCAGGGCTCTTGAAAGTGAAATGCTGTTTTTCACCCTGCGGGTGATTCACAAGGAGCTATGAATCACTGGGTGGCTTCTGAAAACATGAGGTAACAGCGGGAAGAGCTGCTCTCACTGAAAGACGGGCAGCAGTTTCTAGCAGAGCACTTCATACTGACCCCTAGGACTCAAAACGCAGAGTCTTTCTCAGCAAAATGCCTGCAGTTTAGTGAAAGCCATCTGCCACCACACCACATCTCAATGAAGGCCAGCTGACTCATCCATCTCACTTTCAGACTGATAAAAAACACATTCCTGTGGTAAAAATAATCAGGAGAACAACTTAGAACTTCGATAATGGGTTGACAGGCATGTGATTCAAGATAATTTATCCAAGTTTTGATTTTATCTGAAAGAGGTACCTGACTAGGCTTTTAATTTATAACAGTGAAACATGAAACACGACAAATTATTCAAATCAATTTTGAATCTTCCGACCGAAAAGTCCACAAAATACTAAATCATTTTTAAAAACGGACAAAGTACTGTGGAATAAAGGCTGAATCGCAGTGGGCCTGATTTTTTTTCCTGTAGAAACACTACTGTATCTAATGCATTTGCTAGGGACAGGACAATAACCCCACAATGGAAATAGTGGCCCACTATTTTTTAGCAAATCATTTATTTTACAAAATAAGGCAAAGTCTTCTGGCTAGCAGGGGCCTGAGAGAAACATCTCAGTCTTGGTCAAGGTCACACAGAGCAGCCCAGCGGAGTCATCTCCCAGGCCTTTAGCTGGGCCCTGGAGTGGGGTTCAACTTAATCTCTACTGAGCTCCCGCTTGTAGGCCTGGGTGTGCGTCTCAGACCTATCGTAGAGTATATCTTTGTCTTGGAAGAGGGTTGTGAGAGAAGCCTTGGCAGGTGTTCCCCACTCACGATGTTTCTTCTTAATATACTTTCTTTAATTCTGAAGCAAAGCCAGGACGTGCCCTTTCTGTGAAGTGAAACAAATGGTCGTATGTACCCAAAAACATCAATGGATTTAACTGAAGATTTTCAGGCTCACTGGTTTGGATGAAACTTGACTCCAGATTGAAATGGTAAAAACCTCTTTGTCCTCTCAGGAACACTTTCTGCTTTTGAGTAGCTATCCGCACATATTGGCCTGTACAAGTTTTATTTTCATTGTTCACTGCTTATCTGTCTAAAGAGACTGTGCTGTACCTCCACATTTACTTCAGAATGTAGCCACTGGTTCAGACTGCAGTGCGTCCCAACGTCCATTCTAGTGTGAGAGGGGTATCTGTGTCTCCCTAGTCACTCATTCCAGGCTCCCTGCCAGACCCTGCTGTGCCAACATACACAGTGAGAAAATAGGGCAGCCAGGCCAGCTGTGGGTAGGTTATGCTTAACTGTCACTATGCTGTCTTTATACTACACATTTGCTGATTACTCTAATTCACAATTCCCTACATATTGTAAGACGAAAGCTGTGGAAAACATATGACAGGCCTGGATACAGCTGTAGTAAAGTCAAATAGAAAATACTAAAAATGAATTACAATATACTGTATCTGCAGTATATGATATGAAAATAATGTAGCTATATTAAAGTTTTTAAAATGATAAGTGTGTATTTTGGCAAGTTATTGTTCCTATAATAGAAAATCCTTTCTCTGCCTTGCATGAACTAGTGAAGCTACAGTAGGTTCCTTAGTTGGAATGATGAGTCTAATCTTTCCTTACAGACCCTAGTGTACTGTGCTCATAGTAAATAGGCATATTTTACAGATATTGTATACTCAGAGTATATATACTATGGTATGCAACTTAATATTATACTGTAGCTAAATGTGTATACAAAGAATAGACTTGAACTTACATGCACATATAAATATTTCTGTGCTTTGGAAGTCAAATGACTCCTTTGGTGTGATGAAGTTCAAAAATATCTCCCGTATGAATAAAAATGATGTCTCTCTGCCAGACTGTTTCAGCAGCCAACTCCTGCTCTCATGTGATTGCATTTTCTACAGCATTCCTACACACAGTTACTCACTACACAATTGCCTGCAAAAAGCCTCCTGCAAGTGACAAGACATGTTCCTCCTACTATATGACACTTTTAGTAACAAGAAGAAAAAATGAAGTCAATTACAGAGTTACTCAGTGTCAGATTTATCTTACAGCAGTCATACACAGATTAACTTCTCTTGAGATCGTTCAGATCCCATTAAGGATGTTCGAGTTTATTCTAAATAATCTTTTTAAGAGTCTCTGCTGCAATGGCACTTTTACATTGTTTACATTCTATAACCCTAGAAAGAAAACAGACTTAGTTGAAATCCTAGGATTTCTTAACTCTTCCAAAACCCGAAGGCGGTTCAGATGCTTTTTTGTGCTGTCATTTGGACGTGGCCATAAATAAAAGTAGGCTGCAGTGTGGTACAGTGGTTAGTCTTCTGAACTTAGAATTAGATTGTTGTGGGTTCAAATTCCATGGGAGACATTGCTGCTGTACCCTTGATGACAATATTTCACCCAAAGAGCCCCACTAAAAAACTCAGCCACGGTATATAAATGGGTTTAAATATAAATCACTTGGGTTAAATGTGTCAGCCTAATAAACATGAAAAAAGAAAATGGGGTTTATAGTTGCCCACTGTAAATGCAAAATGGAATTGCTCTATGTTGAGTGGGTTTGTGATGATTAGCCATTTCTTCATGGAGAGAATGTCACATTAAAATTGATGATGGCGAGATAGTCAAGAACAGTAAATGTATTCTGACAAAGATGTATTCCACTTAAAAGGTGCAGTACACCTTAGAATCCCGAGGCTCGTTCGCACAATGAATAAAACAGACTAAATGTTAATGATGACATAGTCAGAAGGTGAGTGTGTAACTTGGCCGTCTGTGGCTGCTGTGACATCTGGGTGTGATGGTTTCCTAAGAAAAAGTTTGTAGCTTTTCATAGATTTTTTTTTCAATGGGTGAAAAACAGTTAAAATTAAAGTCTCGGCCTGTGTGCTTTTCTGTTGTTCTGTGGTCAGTGCTGTAGCCTGCTGCCTTAAGCCCCCCATCATCCCACACTGGTCCCGGTTAAGGCGGTTCCCAGCCCATTCCTGGAATTCCTGTGCTCCCCCCCCACGCGCGCTGTGGCCAACGCACAATGCCTCTCTGTGACTGCCCAGGCTCAGGCACCCATCAAAGAGCCAGCCACAGCCTCACACACACACAAGCCACACACTCATCCTGCATCACATCCCAGTTTCACAGCCTCTCCTCCGATGACTTAAAACAACAACGCAGCACAGTCTGCTGCTCCTCCTCAGCTGTGGTACTGGGTCTTAGATGAGCTAGCGGCTCACTCATTAAACCATACCCCCTGGCTTGATCTCTGGCAATGTCTCTGAGCCCTGACACACGGATGTTGTGCCCCGAGAGGAATTAAGTGAAACACCAACTGAAAGTGAAAGGGTTACTTTCTGCTATTCTACAAACCAACACCTAAATTAGAAGCAAATGTTTGTTAGCATTTGAAGTCTAAAATGGCACATTTATTTCCAAAATACTGCATGCAGAGAAAGACAAATAGTCTTTTATCCTTGTCTTCTAAGTGTTTTTTAGTCACCATTTCATTTTCATTTTCTCAAATACAATAAAATGCAATACTCAATCAACAATAACCATTCCCCATCTCAGAAATCCTTCCCTGAGGACCCTTAACATAAAAAAAGCTACAATGGAACCCCCAAGAAACAAGGCTTTAAGTGTGTCAGCAGC